TACAATAATCTGAAAAATATAATCAACATCACACACACAAATGACATAATCAATTTTAGCGTGGAAAAAACTCCCCGATGTGGGAAGCAAAAAACCACGGGACCGTAGTCACTAAATCTCTACTATCAACAAAATAATGGGTGTACAAGAGTTCTCTCTAGTTAGAACTAGAGGTAATCAATCTCAAGAAATAATCTTTCTTGGCAACAAATATCTTTTAATCAAAGATTAAAGAGAGATCTCACCAAAACGGAGGTACTGTTCACGGACCCAAAAACTGATCCAGAATGCTCGAAATCCAATCTCTACCGTTCAGAATGTAGAGCCTTGTATTGCGAACCCACCTGCCAAATTTTAGCTCGATCGGACCAGAAACGCCTGCTGATCGGAGCCCTTGATGAAATCTGGTCGCACCTTGAAAAACTGGTTTTTTGGAATTTCTCTCTGTTTTGTCGGAAAGCAAAAGACGCCACCTCCTTTTTCTACACCACAATACAGCATAAACATTCATACCCACATGGGCTTCACTTGGGCCATCCTCACATTAGGAGGGAAACCCAGCCCAACATGTTTTTGTTGCATGTTGAACTTGTGCTTTGTTTGCTTCCATTCAATATGCATAGAATTCTGACTGTCACGGGGATGCATCGTTTAAATTCATTGCTCTCTCTTTTCATTTTTTCCAATCCCAATGATACCTGGTTAGCCTTTCTTTTACATGTTTGTTCGTTAATGCACAAAATTTTGAAGCTAGATTTCCCCACCTATGCTTCATCCTAATTGCTCGGAACAGAGGCAATTGAAGTTGAATCAGAAATGTTTACTTGGAGTGAAAGTGGAAAGAGGATCAGGATATTACATAAATATTGGTTGTATGAACTATTCTTGTCCTATTAGTCTGAATGCTCCCTTCTGGAAGAGCCAGATAATGGTTAGAGGTTATGTACTATACGCACTTATGAATCATTTAGTTATTGACATGATAAATTAGGTATTAACTCTCTAAAATGGGTCGATAGATTTGATTTAGGATGATATTAGCTCCCTAAAATGGGTTGATAGGTTTGCTCAAGGATGATCAATCTTGGATATCAACTTCTAAAACTTGGAGTCATACAAGTCTCTTTCCCCGAAAGACCAAGGGTGATTAAAGTGTGTTCAACTTCTATTCTCTCATATTTGCTCAGGGTCATCAGGGAGGAAGCACATATAGCATTTAGGTCTTATAGAAATAAGACAGCTCCCATCAATTACGTGTTTTGGGGGAAAAGGTGGAAATCAAATGTAGTCACACCTTTATTGACTATGCCTCTTCTTGTGATGATTCCAAATCATGGAACCTAGGGTTGTACATCATAGGTTAACTGTAGAAGCATTTCGTATGGGGCTGGCTGCTGCTCTCTGTTACCAATTCCAGGTTCCTACTTCTTCCTCAATAAGGCTACAGCCATTCATGAATGAATCTGTGTGCCAAAGAACAATTAAGCACATGCACAAGGTGCCCTGCCCAGTGCATTGAAGATCATAGTTTGCAGCTCTCCATGAAATCGCTACCTCAATGCTCCAGTTTTTGAGAGGTCTGAATTTTTATGCATGGAAGATACAGCGCTTTGATAGATCTCGGGGCTTCATTTACCATTTTCTTTCTTGATCCACTGATTTAGTTTCACATCCAGTGTCACCAATGTCTTTGCTATTGCTCTTCAAAGTCTATCCATCCTGCTCGAGGGGATCCAAGTATTTGAAAGGGGCACTAAGGTAACTGCAACATTGATGATGTTTTATGTATTAAAACCCAAAATGGGCAACACTTACTGCACATTTTTGTAGAACACGTGAAAATTTGGTAATATACTATATGATGTCATCTGATTTAAATGTGTTTAAAGAAAACCTTACACATTACTTTTACTCACTGCCAAAAGTTGGAGCCATACAAGTCTCTTTTCTAGAAATGACCAAGGGTGAGTTTTGAATGTTCAGCTTCTATTCTCTCATCTTTGCTCAGACTCATCAGGGAGGAAGCACATCTAGAAATAAGACAGCTCCTGTCAGTAATGTATTTTGGGGATGTTGAAGGATTTAAATAAATTTTAAAGTTACACCCTCTCTAACATCTTAAGCTTTTAGAGTGGATGGTGATTAACATGGTATCAAACCAGGCAAGGTCCCGTGTTTAAACCTCACCGTTACCATGATAGTTAAAATTGAAACATGTGCTGGACCAAAAGAAGGCCACACGTGAGGAGGCGTGTTGAAGGATTTTAAATAAATATTAAAGTTACCCCCTCTCTAACTGCTTAAGGTTTTAGAGTAGATGGTGATTAATAGGAGAAAAAAAGGAGAAAGAAAATGCAGCCACACCCTTATTAACTATGCCTCTTCTTTCTTATTTTCTTTTTTGGGATTTTTTACTCTATCAGGATTCCCTTTTTGGGATGACAATCTTTTGATTCAAAACCCCATCCAAAAGAAAGAAAGAAAAAAAATAAATATTCTGAAATTGCGGGAAATTCAGGTCAAATCAGCTTAAGGTCCCTATAGGAGTGAACTATGCAGCATCATGCTTGTTAGGGAGCTGATACCCCAAATTGGAGAAAGACCACGTACATTAGCTTTTGCTTCAGAATTTTTTTTTTCTAATTTTTTTGCACTTCCCTCTTGAGTATAGAGTTCTGAATGAATGGAAGAGAACACCCAAGAGATTGTACAAGGCTTTAATTTGTAGGTTAGACCTGCAGTTATTGCCTGTAAAACAAATCATAGGATGGTAATGAAAATTTTCATATTTACAAGTGAACCTCTGTACTATGATCATTTTGGGAACAATTGATGAGACATGGATGTAACTACCACGAGTTGGTTGGAGTGGCCCCTACTGGAATCACAATATCATTGGAGATTCAAATTAATATTATTGAATTACTTCCAGTGCAACTTATAGGATTGTTTTTTTATGGACTGGGGCTTCCTTTTAGGCTCCTCAGTTTTTGCTAATTGAATTACTGGTTGTAATTTAACAAAATGTTGAATGGCATATATCAGAAAAGAAGCGAAAAATCCCCAAAAACTAAAAGGAAAAAAAAAAGAGGGAAAAAGGAGAATTTAATTACTTACACCAGTGTTTCATTTCTACAGAATTTGGACGATTATTGAATATAAATTTTATTCATTGATTTGTAATGGTAGAATGTTCAATTTCGTTTTCATTGAACAAAGTGGAGGTAATGTCGCTTTTGCTCTAGGAGAGAAAGGAAGTAAAGGAGCTGCATGGTAGATAGGGGGATCATGTGATTCTTGTGCCCAGCCTAAAATGAAACCAATCCATATTGATATCCATTTGAAGCTGGACTTTCATATAAACCAAATTAGAACATCACAGAGTGTCTTAAAAGGGAAGTTTCTGAAAACGAGCCAGTTTTCTCTATAAAAGAGTTCTCAAATTAGATGACTCTACTTGTTGATGTTGTTATTTCCCAAATAGCATGGTGCATCATTGAAGAGGAAATCTTGAAGAATCTTACTCAACTCCACTTAACAAAGCCTTTTTCTCAATTACTTCGTATCATGGACATGAATTAGTCTCAGGGAAATCACATATTATCATATCCTTCCTTACTGACTTTATCCACATTAACTTTGGTCTTCCCCTTCCCCTAGCACTATTCTCAATGTGAGCCACGTCATTCTTCCTAACTTGGGGCATTTAGTGGTCTTCTTTGCTTGACCAAACCATCGTAATCGATTTTGTCTCATTTTATGTCCATTTGGTGCTACTCCAACCATCTCACAGAATTGTTCTTTTCTAATTCTATCATTTCTTGTCTCATTGCAAATCTATCTTAGTACTCGCATTTAAGCCTTACTCACCTTATGCATACATTGTTTCTTAGTTGTTCAACATTCTGTCACATAAAAAACAATTGGTGTAATAATTGTTATATAAAACTTTCCTTTCAACCTTAAAGGGATAATGGATCATACAAAATACTAGGTGCAGTCCTCCATTTTTAAAATCATGCCTTGATTTTTTAATTAATTTCATCTCATTTTCTTCTTCATTGTGTATAATTGAGCCTAAATAATGAAAATGCTCACCTTTTTTATACCTTACGATCTTCAATTTTCACTGTATCTTTAATTGTATTTCTAGATTTGCTAAAGTTACACTCCATATATTCAGTTTTATACTTTTATTCCTACATACCTTAAACCCTTTGAATTCAAGAGTTTCCCTACAAACCTCCAATTTAGCACCCACTCATTATCTAGTTTCATCAATTAAAACAAAATCATTAGCAAATAACACATATGGGAATCTCATCCTGAATCTACCTTGGAGAATCTTACTAAATGTGCAATTATGGCTTCTAATCAATTAATGTTCAGTGATGCTGTTTGTAATGTCTGTGACCTTGTATGCGCTGTCAGATGATATCCTTTATAGGTGCATGGAATATGTCGGTGCGTGGAATATATCAATGGATTTGAAGTGAAAGGATTTGGGTTTGAATGATAGATTGACCATTGAAGTTATACTGAGAGGTTAAAATTGATGTTATGATGAAGGTGTGAAACATGTGTTCTGTTAAGATCATTGTGCAACTACGGTCTCTGTCATGTTTCGGACAACACTTTCCTCATGCATAAAATAATTAAAATTTTCAAGTCAGTTTATGCATTTTGTTGAAACCTAAATCTGAACTTCTAAATCTAAATTTAAGCTATTCTCCTTAAAAAATTGGAATTAAATCCATTAAAGAGTTCGAAAAAGAAAAAAAGAACAAGAAAAAGATAATTTGATTATTTACACGTAAAGTTATGGTTTGAGCTGGTAAAGAACTTTGTTGATCGCTCCTTGAATAAAATTGTAGATACTGCAAACCTGTTTCATAAAACAAAGCGGAATTGATGTGCCTTTTGCTCCATTGGGATTTTACTATGTGCTGTATCACTTTCATCATCTTTTCTGATTTCTCCCGATAATGCGTACATGACAGGCACATGCCGCATACCCAAATGGATTGATGGCTTCATTGAGCTCAGTGTAAATTTTCTAGTTGCCAAATGAAAGGTTAAGATTAATTTTCTATCAAAAAATTATTACTATTTTAGTTTTTTCATTCTTGTGTAGCCTTTACGGTGTATACTATTATTAGGTTCACTAATTGCTGGCTTCATTTCTTTTCATTTCTGAAGAGCAGAAAACAGGGAAGACTAGGATTGTGTCTAATGATGGTGGAAGAATGAATGGAGGACCTAAAAGTGATGGAGGGAGCACAAATAAAGGCCCAGAAAATGTAAGATTTTCTCTTACTACGTAAATCATAAATGAGTGAATGATAAAAAAACATGGAAGCACGTGGCAGAGCCTCCAGTGGTGGTGGGGGTGCCCCTACTACTAGTGTGGCACCATCCTCCCACTTTAAAGTAGTGGACTCTCCCTCTCCCTCTCCCTCTCTCTCTCTCTCTCTCACACACACACACTCTCATAGTTATATAGATATATGTATATATACACATAAAAGAGATTGATTGATAAAGAAGAGTTGAAAGTGCTAGGTGGGTTGTTCATGGATTGCAATCCTGTTTGTGTCAAACGTATCCATCACTTGGGTGTGTCATTGTGCCAAACCCATCTTAGCCCTTCTCCCACCCTCTAAATCACACACACACACACTCAAAAACACACACAACATGACAAATGTGTCAAGAAGTACTAGATGACCCCACTATGACCTTGTGGGTGGTCAATTGTTGGCTCTTCTCATATCTTTTTCCAGTCTCTCTCTCTCAACCCATACACATCTGATCTTGTACGTAGCAACTTAACAATTTGGGAGTCTTGTTCAATCCCAATTCCAAATAGAAGAGAGAGAGAGGGGGTGTTCTTGGGTGCAAATGTTTGACCAACCAAACATGTAACCAAGTAAAGCTATTCAAGTCCCAGTCCATTTAGGAAGAGCTATCAATAAAAAGTATCTCAACTAACCCACCCCAACCTAACCAAACTTCCAACTCAGCTCTACAACTTTATATCATGAATATATATATATATATATAGACTAGAGAGAGAGAGAGAGAGGGGTATGGCGGCAGGTCTGATTAGGGGGTAGTGGTGGTGGCGGAAGGAGTGGTGGTGATGTTTGTGGTGGGGTCCTATTAAAGTGTGTGATCTTTGCTTTATCCTTTTCTTGTATGATCATCATCACTACTACTCCTCATGGGACTCATGTCACATTTGCTTGAAAATATAATATAATGGGGGGACTTGGTTTGAAAGCCAAACGAAGTAACACTAACGTGTCTGAATATGAAATCAACGTGTTGGCAATTCTAATTTAGATTTGTAATAGATGAACTGAATACTATGATGAGCTTGAGCTGGCTTGATATATATATATACATATATATATATATATATATATATATATATATATATATATGTCGTGAGTGGATTGCCTCAAAAACTTTTAACAAGCATTAATCAAAATGATGTCAGTCTATTCTTAATAAGAAACTACGACCACCAGTCAAAATGATTGGATAAACATGATCTTTAAAATTGATGTGAATTCCACTTTGTTTGATTGTGTGCATGTGTGTGTTTATTTATACATAATTTATAAAGTAATGACCCTTTTATCAATGATTTAAATTTGGGTGAGTTAGTAGGTATTGATACCCATGTACCGATGATATAGTATTCCTGACACGAATAACTTGTCTTATTGATTGAAAGTGACATGTAACTGTTACTCCCTAGATATTAAAGTGAGGATGGTTGCATGTATTTGAAGGGAATAGTCCTCCCAAAAGGAGTAGAGGCACTTATTTTTTCTTAAACAAAACCAAAAATCTCAATTGCTCGATCTGCATTTTTCTGTACCAAACTCTATGTAAAGCAACAAATTTCATTTCTCTGCATTGAAGAAAGTCTAACTCTTGACCGAAAGAGAGAGAGTCATACATTATAGAAATTATTATTGATATATTTGATGTAATCCATTTCAATTAATTTGGGGAAAAAAAAAAAACTTTTTGGAATATTGATTTAGCTTGATATAAGAAGACTTGGTCAACTTTTAAATAGGGGAGGGAGTGGGTGGCATGATACGAGCCCACAAATCCTATTTGACTCCAAGAGGCATGTTGGGCTTGACGGAGCCCATTCCAAGCAAAGTGGGCTGCATAACTTCAAACGAGTGACCCGACAACCCTGTCATTCACGTGCCATCCACGTGAACCCCTTAGGATCTAGTGTGTGCATTACTATGTGTTTTTTTTTTTTTTTTTGGTCTTCAAAAATAGCAAACTCACTCACTTATTCCTCCCAAGAACTTAGAAAGTTGATTATGAACAACTTGTTACAATAATTCATCAATAGTTTTATAATAATTAATAATCAACAGCTGAAGATGTAGGTCGCTCTTTGGTTCAAAGTCCTTTTTATCTTTTTTATTGACTTGCATTCTTCAATGTCATGCTACGAGCCTCCAACTTGGGGAGGTCCTGGTATCGAGTGTAAGGCCCACTTTTGTCAATACGAGACTTTTGATATCTTTTCTCTAGGTTTTTTATTTCTTTTCTTTTTTTAAAATTTTTTATAAATATATTCGTGTAAGAAGATAATCTTATTATAGTTATTAACATTTTTTTTTTTTAATTACCCAAAAGAAAAATACTTGGTTTATCTTTTGGCAATATCAGATTTGGAGCTGCTTCATTGATATCTCATTTTAAATTGGAGTCTTCTTTAGTATTCGAATATGATAAAACTTCACATATGATACAAGATATTCAAATGTGGATGTCAACCATTCTGAAAGTATATAATAAATGATTAAATTTATATAAATACGTAGTATTCGTATTTTACTAATGTTTGGTTTGGTAACACAAAATTAGCGTCTTGGAATTGGTATTGGAGGAAAAGGTAGTTTAAATTTAGTTTAAACTTCACGTTGGACTAAATTTTCTCTAATTTTAAATTCAAGATGCCAATTAAATGCTCCAAAACATAATATAAAAGTATTCTCGTGGTTCACTTGATTTTCTTGAAGAAAAAAAAAAAAAATTGGACCTAGACACACACCACATTTGCCCAACTGCACTTTTATTGATTTTTTGACCAATTGAATGATGAAATTGCCTTATGATTTTTAAAATAATACTTTCTCTGTCCTATATTAATTGTTCATTTTTAAATAAAAAGTATTTTAATATGTAAAAATTAAATCTTTGAATGAGAATACCTAATTAAGTTACATTTGAAGTCACTCGAGTGTTTTAATATATAAAAATTGATGCATTGTTGAGTTTTTAAATTACTAAATTGTCTTGTAAATTTTAAATGTATAAAAATCAAATTGAAATATTAGATGAATAATTATGAAAATATTGGATCTAATTTGTTTAATTTTTAGTGTGAACAATTAATTTAAGACATTTTAAAATAAAATAAAAAATAGACTACTAATATGGGCGTAGAAGTGTTTTTGAAAGCAATTATGTCGTTTCAATTTTTCAAAGACCGAAAAAAAAACCATATGCTATGTGAAGAATAAATCAAACACTAATCAGATGGACCAATTGTTGTTTTGATTAATAACCGTCGGATGTGCGGTCATAGGATACTCTCTGCTTTGGTTAGCATTAAATCGCACAGTGCACGCGTCTCTGCTACCTTAAATGCCACTTTTAAAAAAGCTGTGTTGGGTCCACCAAATCTGCAACTTGTCGTCCCACCTTCTCTCTCTAGCTCTAAACACACACACACACTTATATATATATATATACACACACTCTATTGCAAGATCAACCATTACGCGCTTTACTCGCATCAGTGTGAACACTTCTCAGCCAGGGATCACCGTCTCGCCGTTATTGACATTTGTTAATCCCCAAGTCAATTCATACTCGCCCGAGTTTCTAAATCACGTACTCGCTGTCTCTGTTAAGCATCTGTAATTTGGAATACTTTGGTTAATTGCACCATGTTTATTGCTTTTTCCATTAGATTCTCGTTTTTGTGCTCTGGATGTAGATTTTAGTTGGGAACATCATTTCTGGATGGAGCAAAATATTGGGTGGAAAAAATAAGGCTTATTGCAGTGGTTGTATTGTAATCAAAGAAAGGACTTCGTTGCACGTGTTGCTCACGAGTATGTGTTGGTTTTGGCGACAGTTGGTGTGCGGTAAGGTCCACCTTAGCTATTCGGACGACGGACTTGGTCATGTATTCTAGTCCGGACTTTGGATGGTTTTGTTTAAAAAATTTTATTCTTTTTTAACTTGATCCATGTAGAATCCTAGTTGAAAAGTTAAGATATTTATACATATTATTGTTAAATATTTGCTTATACTTTAGTTTTCTTCAAGAACGGAATTATGTGAGAAGATAAATAGTGAGATGTTATAAGTATATAAATGAAAATGAAAAAAATGAGGTATGATATATATATATATATATATATATATATATATAAATATTTAATGGGGGTAATTGTCACCGCGACTTAAACATAGGTTCGTGGGTAAAGTGCAAAGATTAACCTCTGAATTATTGTCATTTTGTAAATAATTCATCGAATTATTAATTTGTTGTAATTAAGAACAAATTTATCACAAAAGACTATTTTATATCACAAAAGACTATTTTACCCTTTCTTAATAAAATTAACATTTCTTATTAAATTTGATTATATTTTATCTAATTCAAAAATTAATTATACTATTTACCTTAATTTTATAATTAGTATCAATTTATCATTAAAATGGAAAATAATAAGTAGATTAGTAGCTACCATTCTCTAAAATGATTAATTTATTATTATAAAACTTATTATACTCAATTTTTTTTAAAAAAAGAAAAAAAAAATAGTGTAAAAAAATAACTTCTTTTTCATTCAATATTCATGAAAATTTAAATTACGTAAATAAAAAATATTATTTTTTATTTTTTTATTCAATATATTAATAAAAATTTAAGAAATTACTTAAATTATTTCAATTTTTTCTACTTAATATTTTTATTTAAATAATCATTTTCAAAATTAAAGACAAAATTATGCAAATTTAATGAAGAATATTTCATCAAATTAGTATGCATTTTTTTCATAATTTATTTCAATAAGAAAAATAGATAAAAAATGGTACTATAGTCATTTAATGAAAAATAGTCAAAATAATAAGGCATTTTACAATTAAATGTCATAGTGTAGGTAGATATTTGCACAAAAAAAAGGAGTTATTTGCAAATTTAGACATAGCAAAGAGGAAGTTTTTACACTTTACCTTATATTTGTGCCTGCTTATATAATCTAAGTAAAATCATAGTAAAACAATATGTTTAAATAAACACGATTCAATTATGCATATATTCATGTTCTTCTGTGTCTACTCAATTATATTTAAATTTTTTTTTCAAATTTAAAAAAATTCAAACCAGTTAAATTTTGACTAGATTTTGGGTCAAGCTTGCTTAATTTCATGTGTTAAGGGTACCTTGTTGCAAACATGTACGATTCCCAAAAGCGCTTTTGATATGATGTTTGTTTTTCTTTTGTGATTGCTGAATGTCACAAAAGGAAAAAAGCTACATGAATAAAACTATATTAGGTTACCATGGACTGTAATTTATTTATTTATTTATTTATTGCCAAGAAACTTGGGTTCAAATGGCTCCACTTAGCTGCCTTAGATATTTATTATAGAGTGAAGAATTTTCATCCTATTTACACTATATTAGTTTTTTATTTACTTTTTTTTTTTTAAAATGACATAATGATTTTTAATAATAACATTTGCACTTCATAATTTTTAAAGAAGTACAACTACATTTCAATTTTGATGTATAGATTTTTCATTTTAATTTAAAAAATCAAAATGATAAATTACCTAAGACACCTTAAATTATGATTAAAAAAATCACTCTTTCCTTTCCCAAAATTACAATAAAATGACAAGTTGGCAGTTAGTTGGCAGTTTTATGTCACAATAATTTACATTTTAAATGAAGTTCCACATTTATTCTTATTCCCTCTATTCCAAAAAAATATGTTTATATATTTTTTTGAAATTGTCCCAAAATAATTGTCCAACTTATTTTTTCAAATAATATATTTTACATCTTTCTATATATATCTTTTAAGTTTAAAATTTCAAACTTGAATATTTAAAATCTAAAAAGACAAGTTAGTAACTTTTCAGAAAGAGAATATATGACGCACATGTTGCTTTAAAAACTTCTATTTATCAAAAATGACATTTTTTTGAAACTAAGGGAGTAATTAATATGTACTGCCACAAAACTAAACTTAAATTAAGTGAAATATATAAAATTTCCCTCTAAATTAATAAAGTTACATTTTTAGTTACATTTATGAACTTAATACAACATAGTGTGTGAAACTAAGCGCAAATATGAAACAAAAAAAAAAAAAAAGCCGAATTAATTTAACCCATGATTTAAAAAAGAATTGACGTTTAGTTTTATCAATATTTTATGTTGTTATGTCGCTAATACTGCTAACAGAAGCGAACCAAACTTTTGTTCCTAGAAATTCCAAACCTCTAAGGACCACGCGCTTTAGGATTGCGTTTGTATCACGACCCAACCACTTCGAGAGGAGCACCCATATGAATGGTCTCTACTTTTTTCCTCCATTTTTCTTTTTGTCGGTAAGTGGTAACTCACGAGTCAGGATGACATGTACTATATATTATATACATATAGAGAGAGAGAGAGAGAGAAAGAGTCTAGAGAGAGAAAGACAGGGTGTGGACTTCTTCACAATCGAACCCACCTTTGACATTTCCCCAAGTCAACCCACAATGCAAGTGACAAGCGTTTTTCAGTGCCAAAGGGCCCAAAGGATAAGCGTTGATAATGCCAGCCCATCTCGCTCTAAAAATTCCGCCCCCCTCTACTTTCTCTCTCTAGACTTCTTTGTAACTTGCAGGAACCCCCCCTTTTATCTCTCTCTCTCTATAAATAATAATTGTTTTCCACTCATTTACACCCTCAAGCTCTCACTCTCTCTCCTACCAAAAGTCAGCGCCTTCCTTTGTCCCCTTTCCCTTCTTTCTCTCTCTACTTGCATTTTTCTCTCTCTCAAGACTAGAGCAGACAAGTTGAGAGGGGATATGGAAGATGATTGGGATCTGCAAGCGGTGGTCAGAGGCTGCACCACCACCGCCACCTCCACCACCACCACCACCACCACCACTTGCACTGCAGATGTTGATGATCCTCTTTCTACCTTTCAACCACAAGATAATCACTTTCTCTTCTATCCAGATCCAATATTTGAACAAAGGAGTGAGAGTATTGAAGACTTGCAAGATCTGTTCAAACCGTTCTTCCCCAAATTACAGCCTCTCTCTCCCCAAAACATACCCATCTCACCTCTCTCTGTTCTCGGAGGATTACAAGATCTATCACCACCACTCCAACAGCAACAACAAAAACAACAACAAATACAACTTCAACTACAACAAAAACAACAACAGCCAAAGCAGTTTGTTGGTGGCTCCAAAAGCATTGTTACTTCTGCTTCCAACACTACTCCACACACCCAAACTCCAAGGTCAAAAAGAAGGTATGTTCATGTGTTTTACAGAAATTTCATATATATATGTGTGTGTGTGTATGTATGTGTAGAAATTTCATATATATATATGTGTGTGTGTTTTCTCTCACAGGAAGAATCAGATGAAGAGGGTTTGCCAAGTACCAGCTGAGGGTTTATCTTCTGACATGTGGTCTTGGAGAAAATATGGCCAAAAACCCATCAAAGGCTCTCCATATCCAAGGTGGGTTTTCATGGTTTCAATCATGTTTGATTTTTAAAATCCAAAAATTGACTTTCAATTTAGTATTAATACTTGTTTAACATTTTGGATATATGTTTTTTTTTTCCACTTTTAGAAACAAAATTGCTTTGATTTTAGTTATGAGAAAACTAAAATTGAAGATGTTATTAAATTGTTGAATGTGTTGAATTGATTTTGTTTTTCGGTTTTGTGGATCAACAGGGGTTATTACAGATGTAGTACTTCAAAGGGGTGTTTGGCCCGAAAACAAGTGGAGCGGAACAGATCTGACCCGAACATGTTTATTGTCACCTACACGGCTGAGCACAACCACCCCATGCCGACTCACCGGAATTCACTCGCCGGGAGCACCCGCCAGAAGCCCGTCACACCCCAAACGGCTACCGCCGGTGATACCAACAAACCCAGTTGCTCTTCCCCTGTTTCGCCGGCGAGTCTCTCTCCGGCGAACGAAAAGGTGGATAGCAGAGAAGACTTGATGCTGGAAGACGATGAAGATGAGCTCGATGTCTCCGATATGGTTATGGGTGATGATTTCTTTGCTGGTTTGGACGATCTCGTGTCTCCCGCTACCGCAGATAGCTTTTCCGATCAATTGCCGGCTACTCTGCCCTTCTCTTGGCTGGCCAACAACAGTGCCACAACCACCGCCGCCGGCGGTGGTTGACTAGTCGGGAAAGTGACACCTGTCACGGGCATGAATGATGCTTTTCTTCACCCTCACTTTTCATTTCTCTTTTTGTCCGTTAGATAGAGAGAGAGTTTTTTAACCAGTGGCAAAGAATCTTCAATTACAATGTCTTTGTACGTGAAGGTATAATTCTCCATTATAGTGAGTCTTGTAGAGAAAAAAAGTTTATTCCATGTTTTTAGATGTGTTGTATAATGATGATCTTAATCTAGATGTTAATTTTTGTACCTTGTGGTTTATACTTTATCATGCATACATTTGTGTATATAATAAATGGATAGTTCCTCTGATACAGAGCAGTAGAGGGTCCTTTTATTTCTGAATTATTAACCTCTAAATCATAATTGATCAATCTAGGCCAATACCACTTTATGTATGTGTGTGTGTGTATATATATATATATATATAGATGATGAATTAGGTTAAATATGTTGATTATGGGAGTTTCAAGCGGAATCTAGGGGACATATGCATGACAGCTGTTAGTTTCCCATGTCCAATGTTAAATTGGTGTGCCATTCCTAGTTAATGGTATTTGCCCCCAAATGGGTTCAATTGTGAATAAAGAGGTCATAGTCTCAATCCTGTTCATTTATGTGTTCATGAGTGGGAATAAACTGAAAACAGAGTGAGGAGGATGTCCCATGGACATTTTCTTTTTCAATCACTAGTAGTAGATGTGTTTTGGTCCGGTAACCACTATTGAATGTTTTATCAAATATTGAATTGCACTTTGATCATTCCATGTGTGAATAAGATTTCAATTCCAAACCGCCCATTATAATTCCTTGATTCTGACATTTTGCCTTCTGATAAAAATTAAAAATAAAAAATTGCTTGATTCTGACATTTCACCCTCATTCAAAGCCTACAAATTAATTGACTTCAAGCAAACTAGTTGTAAAATTTTAAAAGTAATAGTATCAAGAGGTCACCCTCTATTGACCCTAATATTGAGATAAAGATTATTGGACTTTGTTTTTAATTTCACAAATCTCAAAATTCTTCTTCTTGGTGATTAGTAAAAGAGCTTATGCACCTCTTTGTCAATAGGATCACCTCATTATAGCTTTTTTCAAATTTTAAATCTATAAATAATTATGTTTGGCACCGGTTACTATATGAATTCCATATCACAATAAAGCAATCTTACTACTTTATTAAATTAAACATTGAGGAAAAATAAGGTTCATATACTTGATAACAGAGATTTAAATTTTATATCATTTTAGTAAAATTGAGTAATGTAAATCTAATAAGTTTAAACCTGTCTAAAATCAGGGCCGATCGGAACCTTAGGCGGTTGCCTAAGGCCCCAACCCAATTATTAAATATACAACTAAACAATAATTGTGAAAATTAATACAATTTTCCATCTTTTGCCTATTATCTTTCCCCCCTACCCATCTAAACAATAATTGTGAAAATTAATCATATGTGTACCGTACCTGCTGCAACTAGTTTCATTTAAAAAAATATTTTTATTTATTGTTTTCAACATTAATAACATATCAAAAAGTCATTTTTATATTTTTTTCGTCTAAAGTCTAAAATTATATTGAACAGCTGTCTAATATGAAATATATGATTTAAGACAAGTATGCATTGGTGCCTAATTTGTTAACAACAATAGGTGAAAATGTTTAGAAGTTTAGAATGCTTTCAGAGAAATTGTAAGCTGAGACATGATCATTTTATGGGGCCCTAGACAACAACCACCACACAAAATTAGCAACCAAAATCTAGCAACACATGCAAGAGACTGAAATGAAAGAGGTGACAATATTGTCCCAAAAGTGTAAAACTGAACCTTAGTAACATGCATCTTTCAGAAATTTTATTGAATTTCTTGGCTAAAATTTGAAATTTCATAGCGATGAAAATGTATACCCTTGCTTAGCTCTCTATATCATAGAGAATGAAACCATGGACCTCAACCTGTAGAGCAAATGATTTATACTCTTGACATAGTACGAACAAAACCCAAGGTTTTACTAGGACCGGGATTTACTTTACAATCTCGTGTACCAAAGGTCATCAGGTTGGAATGATTCTCTATTTTTGAATAAGCATTATGTATGAAGGCCATGCCAACAAGATTCCCATTGAAACATAGGATATGTCGAACCAGTTTTGAACTATTGAGTTTCTCCTAAACATGGTGGAAGTAATTTATGGTGCTGATCATGAAGCGAAAAGCTCGTGTTCTTGCACAAAACTTCTTGAACTTTTTAATTTTCACCAACCGTTTAGAAGCCACTGATCAGTAGTGTTTTTGATCCACAAGTTCAAGTGCTTCCTCCAACCAATTATTTTTCCGGAAACCTTTAAACATTGCATGGTATGTGGTGGTAATTTGGCCTCAGTACTCCCCCCCCTTATTTTCAGATCACAATTATCATTCATCAGAAAAAAAGGGTACAACTTTGAGTTTCTTATTCTTGTCGAAAGAGTAGTTGATGAGAATACTGTACATTACTACTGTTGTAGGTGGAACAATGGAAGCATAACTAATGTCTCTAAAGACTTCCATTACCTTTGTCAATATATTCCCCACCCAGCAATAAGCCTGAATGAATCAGTGCTCCATAAAATAACTACAGTAGGTGCATGAACATACGGAGTAATATATTAATCATCTTCACCATCAATCTGTGGGATGTGTTTGTTTATTAGTCCTTGGTGGTGTTACAGTTGTTACTCTGATACAAGATATCAATGCGAGTGTTGAATGTGACACCATCAATTGGTCAATTTTAATTCCTTTAAGCACATCATAAACTTCATCCAGTTTGTTCTTCTACCGATCACAACCTTATTCATCAATTGGCTAAGAGCATCCGGCTTGGTTTGGATTTTGGCTAGCCCTCATTTTATTGTTTGGCTTTCGGGGAGCCCCAAGTTGGTGTGGTGCTCGCCATATGGTGGGCCCCACACCAATCATAAGATTGCAAAATTGATTATTTGAACATTTCAATTTATTAATTAGATTTTGAACTTATGAATGAGAATATTCTAAAAACTCATAAAGAAAAAAGGAAATGAGTTGGGTCATTCAGCTAGTTTTATACTATTAGCTCGGTTGGCTACTTTAAACTTACAAAAAAAAAAAAAAAAAAGAGTTACTTTTGTCATATTGATTTAAGAAAAATTAATATATATATATATAGATATAGCACAATGCAACGTGAATATCATCATCCATAGAAAAATACTAAACCTTTTGAAATAATTAGTTAAAAGAATAATTACATACAAGCTAATTGAATTAATAATAATAATAATAAATCAAATTAAACTAAAGAGTTATGTTAAACTAATATGAATTCAATTTATTGGTCGGGTGAATGTCAATGGTCCTAAACTCTTTGAATATGATATCTACAGCCAATAATTAAAAAAAAAAAAAAATGAAAAGAAATAAATAAAGAGCCTATGGAAGAATTGAAAAGCTTGCATCACTTGAATAAAAAATATTAAAAATATATTTTTATTCCAATTTTTTTTTAATTGAGTGTTTGAAAAAGTCATGCAAAGACAAAAAAAAAAATGAAAAAGAAAAAAAAGTCGGTTTGAAAAAGTCAAACTATATAATACATTAAAATTATATATTAAAAAAAAAAAAAAAACACAATAATAATCTGACCAGTACAACCTCCTCATGCTTTATTTTTGTTGTTATTAACTGAACTCAGAAAAGTTCTCTTCTTCCACTCTCTCCGGCGAATCAGTGACCGCCATGAACGGAACCGTAACTACCACCGATTCCTCGTCTCCGGACCATGTCGCCGGAACTTGGTTCTCCGTGCCGGATCTCCGACTTCGCGACCACTACTTCACCGTCCCTCTGGACTACTCTGTCGGAACTAGCCCTAAAATCTCCATTTTCGCTCGCGAGGTCGTCGCAGGTACTATATTAATAATAATGTTAATCCACGCGTTATTCAACATCTAAATTGTGCCTTTCACTACTAATCATCTGATTCATTAGTGTTTCCATCATTTTAGAACTCTGTTCTTCATATCTGAAATGTTCTGTATGTAGTAATAAATGTTTCAGCATTGTGTTTGTTTTGGAAGTTTGAACAAAAATTAAAATCTGAATATATATTCTTTTGTGTGTTTATGTGTTTTTTGAAACCGTTGGGTTCACTTATGTGTGGCCCACTATATTGAAGTTCATGGTCTTGTCTGTTCGTCTAATATTAGTTTGTATCTCTTCCTTCAGTAATGTTGTCAACCAACTGTGTGAATTTGTGGGGTTGAATTTGAATGTGAATAAATGCTTATTTGACCATTGAATTTTCTAATATTTCAAAATTTATTTTTAGATAAGCGGCACAAACTCATATAGATATATACTTACACAATAACAAGCGTGTGCTCCTATACATTTTCTTTCTTGAAAGTGATGAAGTATCATTTAGATGAATGGAACAACATTAAATCATATTATTTCCAATTCGCAGAGCTATCCAAATATAAGTAAGAGATACTTCATAGCATAAAATGCCTGTGAGCATGGTCAATAGCCATAAAAACTGAATTGTTTATGAAATTCCAATTCAGATTGTCATATGTTAAAACAGCTGATGTAGTTCTGCAAACAAATTGTACCTATCTATTAACAATGAGCTGTTGAAAACATGGATGGAGGAAATTCTCTGTGATATATGCATTTTATTAGCCCTTCGCGTGAAAGATCACACATCCTGTTATTCTTGTTGATCTGTTGTTTTGGCTAGTTTGTCTTCTACTGATAAAGAATATTTGTTGCAGCCGGGAATGAAGAACAACCACTGCCATATTTTGTGTACTTGACAGGTGGACCAGGCTTTGAGTGCCCACGACCAACTGAAGCTAGTGGATGGCTCGGTAGAGTAACAAAAGACTATCGTCTTATATTGATGGATCAGGCAAGGTTTCTTTGATATATTTTTGGCGCAACCTTTTGTGTAAATTTGACACCCATGCCACTCTTATCTTGGCTTCTGCTGATGTACTTTTCTTGCAGCGAGGAACTGGCTTATCAACTCCTTTGACGGCATCGTCTATGTTGCAAATGAAGGTTGCACAGGATTTGGCTGATTTCTTGAAACACTTTCGAGCGGACAATATAGTGAACGATGCCGAGTTTATTCGCAAACGTCTTGATGCTGGTCCTTGGACGATTTTGGGGCAGGTAGTAGAATTTTGTACTGCTTAGGTGTTTATATCTGAAAATGCCTTATTCCTGATGACAATTTAAATTCAGGTTGTGTACTTTAAATGCTATGTTACATGGACTCTTCAAAGTAGGCGAAGTACCCGTATCAGACACACAATATTCGGCTGTGGGTATGGGAGATGTGTGCGACACTTTTGGTTGGACACGCACCTCAAAGCATATTGTATAATTTAATTTTATTATATTATTGCTTAAAAATGAGTGAAATGTCTATATTGAACACTATGATACGAAAAGACATAATGTTACTCTAGAAAATAAAATAAAAGTATTAAAGAATGAGTATTTGGCAGTGCCCATGTGTCCTTTTATTTGGGAATTTGATATGTCCGACAGTTGGTTACGTACCCGCACCGGACACATATACCTGAGTCCATGTAACATAGTTTAAATGTGCCCTACTTTGCAAAGGACTTTGTAATCATTGCCCATTCCTAAGATCCAAGGGTACCTTTATATTATTTTCCTTCATAACGAGCTGTTTTTATTGAGCAATTAATGATCTTTTATGTCGTGAATCGAAGCTTTGGTGTGATGTGACTTTTAATGGTTGATCATTCTTTTCCTTGTCTAGAGCTTTGGTGGATTTTGTTGTGTTACCTATTTGAGTTTTGCACCACAAGGCCTGAAACAAGTCCTTATAACTGGCGGAGTCCCACCAATTGGAAAGGGATGCACCGCAGATGATGTATACAGAGCATGCATTGAGCGGATAGTTCATCAAAATGAAAAGTATTACGAGAGGTTTCCGCAGGATGCTGAAATTGTTCGTGAAATTGTAAATCACTTGGCAGAGTCTGAAGGAGGCGGGGTGAGGGAGTTTAGAATGTGCATTTGTAGTAGTTCTTTTCCCATAATTTTGAATAATATTTGCTAAATCTCTCTCTCTCTCTTTATATATATATATATTTAGGTTCCTCTTCCCTCTGGTGGCATCTTAACCCCAAGGGGACTACAAACTCTTGGTTTTTCTGGTTTAGGATCTTATAATGGTTTCGAGCGCATGCACTATATGTAAGTTAACATTCATACTCATCTTTTATGTCACAGCGTGGAGTTAATGTACTCAAAGTTGATACTTCTTTTAATTAATTACCAATCAGGTTTGAGAGGGTCTGGGATCCTATAATAGTTCCAGGAGCACAAAAGCAAATCAGTTACAACTTCTTGAATGCTGTAAGAAAATTACTACTCTCTCATTGATCATAACCAAAGGTTTAGAATTTTATTATTAGCAAAACTCCGAAGTTCTAACACAATTGAATGTTTTACTAAAAAATAAATAAATAAGAGCTGTCTGAAGTAGGTTGATCTTTTGAAAGTCTTGTTGTATTTGAAATGGAAGAGAACCACAGAACTATTGTAAATTTTCAAAATTTGAAATCTCATCTCCTTCTTGTTGTTCTGATTGAAGGATTGTGTTTTGCAGTGCAAATTAATTACTTTTGAATGACTTTTAACTTCAATAATTGTTTAATTCCTATTTTCTCATGACATTCTTCATGAGTTTTTTTAGTGATTTCTCTGCTAGAAAAATCACATTGAAATTCATCATTCTTTTCCTTGAACTAACACACACACATCTACATGCACACATATTCTCGCAAGCCTAAGAATGTAGGTATAGTCAGGATTTGGAAAAATCAGGGATAGTAATTACAGATTTAGAGAGGCCATTGCTTGCTTTAGTGGTAATGGTTTGAGCTGACAAGCGTGAGCACGCCGGTTCAAGTGTTATAGCAGTCATCATGTGAAAAATTATGACAAAGATTAGGTTCTTCCCCAGTCTTTCCTTCGCAGCACCATGATGGCGGGACATGATTGGATAATGCCCTTAGGGAATGATGTGCTTTTTCAACTTTATTAGATCATCATTATGTCGCATATGCAAAGTGATTTGCTTTGTGATTTGCTGGGTTGGGGCACATTAAGAACCATTTACCAGCTTGATACCAAAATTTACTTACTTGAAGTATTTATATGTTTACAGTTTGAGAACTGGTCGAGTTTTGATACAAATCCACTTTTTGCTGTTCTGCATGAGCCCATATTCTGTCAGGTAAACTTTTTTATTCCTTTTAACAACTGTTTATTACTTGCCAAATATCGTCAAATGCCTGCATGTCTTGTATACACTGGAACAGGATTTTCTGTTTATGTTTTGAGCATGTGTTGTCTGTGTTTTTGTTTTCATTTTTATTGAACACTTCCTAATTCTTTAATCACTTTTGTTTTGAAGGGTGCTTCATCAAGATGGGCTGCTCACAGAATAAGGACCCAAGAAGATGGCAAATTTGATGCCATTAAGGCTGCAAAAGAAGGTCGCCCTGTTCTGTTCACTGGAGAGGTAAGTAAAATTATTAAAATGGTGCTTTAAAATGAAAAACATGCACAAATGCCACTTCCTATTTCTTGAATATGTTTGACAGATGAAAGACTAAACTGAAAAGGATTTAATGTTCAGTTGAAGGAACTGTAACAATTATATTGACTATTAAAAATCTTTTAGATTTCCAGGAACAATGAACTTGAAATTATATAACTTGTGACATCTCTTTAACATGAATATAAATATTTGAAAGTTTGGACCTCCCTGATACGAGGTTCTCTATATTGTGCTAGCACTAATACCAACAATTTCTTGCAGCAGAATAGGGCGTTCTGTTTTTTTCCTCCCTTTTATTCCTATTTCACCGTCTTTCTGATCAGGGTGGAAAAAAATCTGCCCAGTTTTTAAAATTTAAATATATTCTCTAGAACCACAATGGCTAATTTCACCATTTAAGAAGTCAAATCAACACTTACTTCCTTGCAATCTCACAAAACTATAGATAATTTGACTAAAGTTTGGACAGTTCAAGCTCCCCAATTTATGAAATGTGTCTGTGAGTACTTACGTAACCAAAAAAAATATGGACTAGATAAGGCTGCTGTTTTAGTCTTCTCATATATTAAGTTTTCTATTATAAAATAAATAACCTTAAAAATGAAGTGTGAGATTTTTGTTACAGAAAAAAAAAGAAAAAAATGAAGAAGATGGAGGTTAGGTTTTTACGTAGTCCACCTCTCCCAACATTCTCCATTGGTAGGATCAACACTTGATGGTGGTCTTTTTAGGAATGAAAATGATGTTCAAAAAGTGCATGCAAGGTGATCAAGAAAACGATGGACAAGTACATAAACCACAATAGTACTACAATAGTGGTGGTGATTTGTTTATTCATCTTGAACAAGGATTAATTGCCATATATGTCAAAGCTCTCAGTTCTGGGCATTTTGTCCTTCTTTTAGGCAATGATGATTTATGCAAATATCTCTTCGTTTTGTTAATTTCTGCAATCATATTTGCTTATTTGAATTCAGTTGCTTTCAGAGGGCATAAAGACATCATTGTATGAGAGCATCATTTGCATGGCAGTTTTTCTTTCCCTAGGATTTTTTCTGTAGCGGAAAATGTTTTTAATGATTTATTAGTGAGCATGGCCTAAAAATTGGTAGAGTTCGATCAGTACATATTTTTAAAGATCATTTGAAATTTTGAAGCCAATCTATGTTGAAAATGTTGCTTGCCTGATTGTTAGTACCTGCTTACATACAGTCCTTGTTTTTTGTTTGCTTCTGCAGATGATATTCCCATGGATGTTTGATGAAATTAATGCCTTGAAGCCTTACAAAGAGGCTGTGCATTTATTGGCAGAGAAGGATGATTGGCCTCCGCTATATGACGTTGCCACATTGAATAGGAACAAGGTCTGCTGCCTTCATGTTGTATTTAATATACTGATCATAGTTGCTTCATAACATTTTGTTATTGAAATTTGAAGTTTCTAAGATAGTAGACTACACGCTCTCTTTCTTGGACATGTTCCTTAAAAAAAAGGGAAAATTACATATAAATGGAGTCAAAGTTCCATATTTACTTAGAGACTGAGTCAAAGTTCCATATTTCTCTAAAATGGATTGCTGAGGTGGTACATGGTTTTTTACTGTTTAGAAAATTGTGGTGCCTAAAATGCCCTTCCTTAACAAAAAAGTAGTACTTTCAGTTCAAAAAAGTAGTACCTTCGGAGAAAAAGTAGTACCTTCACGGGTGTTTAAAAAACATGGTATCTGGACGCCAAAAAGTAGTACCTTCAGTTCAAAAAAGTAGTACCTTCGCGGAAGGGTATTTTAGGCACCACAATTTCTAAACAGTAAAAAACCATGTGCCACCTCAGCAATCCATTTTAGAGAAATATGGAACTTTGACTCAGCCTCTAAGTAAATATGGAACTTTGACTCCATTTATATGTAATTTTCCCTAAAAAAAATGCTTTTTCATAAAGGGAAAAATAGTCTTTAAATTAGTTTAGGGTGGGTTTTTGAAACCACGATATCAGGATTGCGGTTTATGATAGCCTGATTTCCTTGAACAGTTCTCTGATCATTGGAACCAAAAGATAGAACAAGTTTTTGTAAATTCTCTTTGTTGCTGTTAAGTTGTAACCAAAAACATAAGAATAAAGAAACTTACAATTGGGTCCAAGCTGGATGGGTTGTCGAAATATTGTTGATTGCTTCACTATGTTCTTTCCTTTCAAATGCTTCCAGGTACCTGTTGCAGCTTGTGTTTATTATGAAGACATGTATGTTACCGTCAAGCGGACCATGGAGACAACTCCACAGATAGCAGGGATTAGGCTCTACGTAACTAATGAATACATGCATTCTGGTTTGCGAGATAGTGACGGCCAAGTTGTGGATTATCTGTTGGGAATGTTGAATGGAAAGAAACCTTTGTTTTGACTTGGAGCAGCTTTTATGCATGCATTTATTCATTTATTTTTTTATTGGCTTCAATAATTGAAGGTTCTTGCAACTGTGTTAGACTCTTTGACAATATCATATATCCCGTTTGTGAGAACTGATGTAAAGTTGGGTTTGCCTTACTGTCATTTGAGTTTTCTTCGACTTGTTTGGACAGCGAGAAAATCTTCAAAAGAATCTGCTTTTTTTTAAGTACAGAATCCATGACCCATTCTTGAAGGAAGCCTATTGTCAAGTTTATCGTTTTCCTTTTTGGTATGTTAATTAGGGGCTTCCCTATTCGAAGGATTGATGTGCTCTTCATGTAACATGGAATCCTGGCCAAACCGGGAAACCCAGATTGAATTGGGTTCTCTATGCGAGTAAAAGAATGAGTGAAGTTTTTTTAGCCTAAATATTTTGAATGTTTTAGCAAAAATTAGTCAGGAATATGTGAAGAAATAAGGCATTATTAACTCACCCTTCATGATTTGGTTTAGATTTAAGGCAACCAATGGTCACACTCTCCTCATGAAAAAGTCATGATTTCCCAACTCTCTAGTGGACGAACCAACTAATACCACTAGTTAAGCCAGTGTCTATTATACAAATTGCATTGGTCTGCAAAGACTATTCTTATTTAGGCTCTGTAAATTTTTTTTCTTTTTGGAGGTAAAATATTTTTTTTTATTTTTATTTTTTTAGTGTTTGGTAAAGGTTTACGTCAAGATTGAGGTCGAGTCGGGTATCTAAAATAACTTGCCAAAAATTTATGAATAAATTATTTTTATTAAATTTTAATATTTTTTTTATTTGTAAATATTTTACGACAACCAAACACTAAAAAATAAAAATATAAAAAATATATTTTTTGAAAAATATTTTACATCCAAACAAACGAAGCCTTAATGTCTTGTTTTTTTTTTCAAAAAAAATTAATCTATTATACAAATTGTAGTAATATCTTGATTTTTTCTTAAAAAAAATAATCACTATAAATGTGAAATTAAGAAATTGTTTTTAAGGTTATAGTCATACATATGAAATATAAATTTTTAAGTTGTTTTTACTATTAAACTTATCCCTTATTTTATTTATAGAATTTATTAAATATTTATGAAAAGTGACGTAGTAATTTAAAAACTTTTATAATAGGTTCACTTATCTTTCTCCTATCTTCCTCCCATATTTAGGCGGATGAAAATTTGTGAAAGATAAAGAATGACCCATTCTTTCTATTATCCTTTCTTTTTTTATATCATCTTTAAAAATTTAGTCATTCTTTTTTATTATCCTTTCATTTTTCTTTTTTCTCTCCCACCGAATATAGTATTAACGCGAAATCAGTGCAGTGAACCCCTTATATGGTATCTTAATAAAGTAGTAGCAGTAGTGTCTAAATAGCCTGAGATCAATAATAGCACTATCCACAAAATAAAGATTCTGAATCTTAATGACTTTTCAACATATAATAAATAAATTTGGGAAGGTTAAAATAATAAATAATAAACGAATCTACTTTATGTAATTTACCCGAAGCTCATTAGAGATGAATCAAATGAATGTAATTTACCTTTCTTTTCTTCTTTCTCTTTTAAATTTTGTTTATTTATTTATCTTAGGGAATGGAGACGTAACTTAAAACCGAGAAGACCTGTTCATAAGAAAGCCAAAGGAATGAGGAAACCCTAGACTCTCCAACGTTGATATCCGGTCACTGGTAAAACCTATTGCTTTCCATCTTCAGATTCAGGTAAAATGTTCGTTCACGCTCCCTCATTCTTTCTACACACTATGCGTTAGCAGCTTATTTAGGGTTTAAGCTGGGCTCATACATTTGTATCATACACGATGAATCATATATAAACTATATATACATATATGTACACAAATTATATATAACAATCACTTAGGACTTTGGCCGCCTTCTAGGTTCGGAAATGCAGAGATCGTGTACAACGTTGGCTCGCTCTCTCATATCAACGCGAGGGTTTTGCACATCAAACAGTGACAAGATCGTCGCTTCTGTGCTCTTCGAGAGACTACCTGTCGTTGTCCCAAAAATCGACCCAGTTGTCTACGCTTTTCAAGAATTCTCGTAAGTTTTCTAATCGTACTATTGTTTTCTCCGTTTGGTTTCCCAGAAAATGAGCAAAAATTAGAAGGAATTATAATTTCAAACCCTTATATTTCTTATTGGTTAGCTTAGTAGTGATTTGCATTTTCTGGAAATTCAGACGATAGAAGTTTTATGAATCCATTTGTTACTCAGCTCAGAAATAGAGGATCAGTGAATAATTTTGGTTTGCTATGTGGATTGATTGGATTATACCCACTAAACCGATCATAGTGCACAACTTCTTGGCTTAGTTCAGTTGAATATTTGATTTTATGAGACTAAGACAACAGAACACAGGATGTGTAAATTTTATTTTAAATTATTTTTTGACTGTTTCTTCTACATTCACAACCAAATGTTGGGTTAAATCAAATATTGCTGCAGCTTTTTCCTGTGGTGCTACAGTTATGGTTTATTATTTTTCATTAGTTATTACAGCCAGTGATTTTAAAACTTTGTTTTTTACTTATTCTGGATGTGTACAGATTCCGGTGGGGACAGCAATATCGGCGGGTATATCCTGATAAGTTCTTGCATAAATCTGATGCTAGGTAAAATTTGTTACATTGGTTGATTTTACTCCTTTTTAGTTTTATGCATTATCAGTTTCCTCTAGGTTCTGAAATATATATATATATATATATTGAAGCATATAATACTAATTGTCAAACCACATAGTAGCTAAAGCGTACGACAGTCCAACCCAATGGTTTAGGAACTAGACGTCTCATATCTGATTCGCACAGGCTTGTCCAATGAATGTGGTTTGTGATGATTGCACGCATGTAGGACTAGTCTCCACTCAAAATGGTTAGGGGAGGAACAAAATTTTTAATGCACAATATGGGTTAGTCTAGAATCTAGATGCAGTGTATGAGCCAATGAAATACCCCATTGGTCCATTTTTAGTTGGTTAGATGAATCCTAATTTGCCATGTCGACTCTCCATGTGTGTATTTGATTTCCTGTGAGTTATAGATTTTCTTGGTGTGTTTTTGCATTACATATCGGCAATTCTGTGGTGATTTGGTTTTGCATTTTCAAAATTCATGTATGTGCTACGTTATGTAAATTAAGTTCTTTTTTCTCTAAATAGATTTGCAACTCTGTGGTGATTGTATTCATTTATTTTCAAAATTCTTCTTAGTGCTTAACACCTTATATTCTGGAAATGTAACAAATTTAGTATATATTTTTGTTCTTAATAGAAGAGATTTGAAATAATGCATTCATCATTAACTCTTCAATAAATTATACATATATATATGTATTTAAGTTGTAAGTAGAGATGGTATATTACTTATTGGTGATTGTGCTGGTGGAGGTGTTTTGTGGGTCTAAATTAGTCTAAAATCGCTAGTATCATTGAGTGTTACGATGGGGTCATGAGTAAACAAGACCTCATTGTATTATGTGAGCTTGCAAATATACCCCAATAAGTTGCCATCTCGTATTAATTGTCTCTGTTTTTCCATTAGTCGTGTGAGATATAGTCACCTCGCCCTTCCGTTTGCAAAATATCTTACCTTTTGCATTAGCAAGCACTCTGCATTTGGGTAAATACAGTAACCCAATCCATCACACATACATTCTCAATTGCCTTCATTTCTCAAACCCATTTATTGTCTTCCATATTCTAACTCTCATCTTCAATCATCAAAGTCTCCCTCCCCCTATCAATAGTATATCAAGGTTTGATACTTGAGCAGTTAGGTTCTAATACCAAAAAAAGAAAAAAAATAATAATAATAATAAAGAGAAATAAAACTATGTTTTTTGAATTTAAGTTCAATGGCTATGATTATGTAGATATTTTTAATTTGCCAAAGATTCAAGTGTAATTATATCCTAGATGTGTGATAATTTATGCATATTTTCAATTTATTTGTATTTTTAAAATGGTATATATGATAATTAATCGTCATTAGATCATTGTAGATCCATGATATGGTTAAATAAGAAAAGACAAATTATCAACTTCCAGAATATATGATTGTTTTGTGATATTGTTGCCAGAATAAGGCAATTACGTGTTATTAATACCTTAGATGATATTCTTATGCTTTAAAATTTTCATTTTATATTATAAGATTTTCTAAGTTCTCCATGTAATATATTTTTGCGTATCTCCCAATTCTGATATGTGGCTGAATCACATCTCTAACCACCAAGTCGATGACTGTTCCTGTGGTTGTGAACCATGCCGTGGAGTATTCCTCCTTTTTTTTTTTTTTTTTTTTTTGTGCATATCCTGCATCATGTCGAGAAATCCTCACAGCAGATGCAACTTCATGGTAGAATTATTTTATTTGTTGTGCATTGCTGCATCAACATCTTAGTTGGGACCAATATGAAGTGATCTAGCTATGAGACTATTAACAGAATATTTTTTTTTTCTGATAAGTAAGCCTTATAACAGAATATGATTCTCGAGATTTATTCTTCTCTTGGAACTAAGGGCTATCTGAAGTAGGTAGTGCACCTTCCAATTAATATAACTCAGGAACCTTGGATTTTTTGGGATTTTAGCATAATCGTAATCATATATCTTTGTTGCTCAGGAAGTGAATGATTTTATCACCACCAACTGTTAAGTGTTAGCTCAACCATTTCCATTTTGGTAAGGTGCAGAGTTCAGCTCAATCTAAGACCTCAAGTGTTTTTTTCTTTCAACTTCAAAAATATTGATGCTATCGGAAACTAGGTGTTCTGAAACAATCAATGAAATTAAGCTTAAAAAAAAAAATATCCAAAAAGAATAAAAATTTGATTTTTTGGTGAAAGCTGTTGCAACATGTCCTTACACTCACTAGTTTTGGTTATTTATGGAAGATCACTCTCCTCCTCCATCCTATTATGTGTCGGTGTTACAAAACCAGATGTGAAACTTTTTTATTTAGTGAGATTGAATTTTGGTGAAGTTTGCTGCAGTATGTAGTTACACTCACTATTTATGTTATTTATGGAAGAGCACTCTCTTCCTACCAAGCAGACGTGAAATTTTAGCTGTATTCAACTAATATGGTATAATCCTATGTTTGCATACAGGGGTAACACCAATTATCAAATGGATTATGTACCAGCTCCTCGGGTCACTGAAGCTGACAAAACTAATGATAGAAGGTACAAAATAAATTTGTTGATGTACAAGAAACTGATTATTTTCCTTCTTAAAGTTGAATAAAGATGCTACACTTCAAGCAAATCTTGTTACTCAACTTTAAGCACTTGTATATTCAACTTGAGGAGAATGTGTTTTTCAACACCACACCAGTGCCTTCTTCTCATTCTTTCTGTTTGTTAGGCGTGGCAACATCTTAAAGCGGTGCAGTTCTTAGATTTAAAAAAATGTTCCGTTATTACGCTACGGAAGTTGCTGGAGATTGATTGATTAACGATCACTAAAATTTGATATTCTTTGGCCCATTTTCACTTTGATCTTGTTTTAAATTTGATTTCTTTGCATTCTTAATAATATGGAGATAAATTTTTTGTAATTTAGTTATAGGTCTGTTTCAGAATTAAAGATTTTGGGTAGTTAGGGCAATAGCATGTCACATTGCCTTTAAGGCCTGTAAAACTGTATTTATGTCCGTATGTATATTGATGAAACATTTCATCAAAATTTGTTGGTTTTTCACCTGGGACAGCCCTGCTTAAGTGGCGTTTTATTGGCACTGCAAATGCATTTGCTGACTTCTTTGAAATACCTTTGTTAATGAATTAAAACAATGGTAGATATTCCCTTGGCAAATGCTGTCATTTATTAGGAAGTTCCATAGTTGCTTTATGTCACTGACACATGGGAATTGGTTTGCACAGAAGTAACCTCAGCTTCAGTAATGTATCATTATGCTGGAAAATTTCAAATACTCCTGTTGACTATTGTTTGCAGTACATGGTTATAATGTATTGGGAATAAGAAACTGTGAGAGCAAAACTTTTTTCAACCAATGGGAAATGAATGATTTAAAGACAATGGATTATCTAGCCGTTTAATATAGTGATAATTACTTTAAAAATGAAATTTTCTTGGTATTTGTATACGCTCCAGCTACTAGAATTTTTTTTTAACATTTGCTCTGTGTTGAAGGTCATTAAATAGAGCGCTTGACAGAAGACTTTATCTCATCATATATGGTAAGGCATATGGGACTCTGGATGGGAAGCCCGTCTGGCATTTTCCGGAAAAAATTTATGAATCTGAGGAGACGTTGCGCAAGGTGATAGTTGATTCATAGAACTTTTCTTCTTCTTGTCTTCTTATTGAAATTTATAAATTTCAGATCTATAGTGTGCAGAGTCTGCATTAAAATCTGTCATTGGAGATCTTTCCCACACATATTTTGTCGGAAATGCTCCAATGGGCCATATGGTTATACAGCCTACCGAGAATGCACAGGATGTTCCATCTTTTAAGGTAAAGAAATTACCGACTCTTTCATTTTACAGGCTTTATTGTCTATATAGTTAGTATTTATACTTCAGACAGCCTTCTCCATTAGTATTTACTTAAAAAATTCATCCTCATAGTTTCTCCTTTTATAATAAGCTGTATAATGTGCTTTTATTGCTTTGCCTTTCTGCTGAGTATTGAGAAGTTTTTTTTTCTAAGGTTCATTTCTTCAAATTTTGGTCATTTTGTCAGCGCTTCTTCTTTAAATCTCAAGTGATTGCAACCAACAAGGTTCCGATTGGGAAGTGTGAGGATTATGTTTGGGTGACAAAGGATGAACTGATGGAGTATTTCCCCGAGCAAGCTGAATACCTTAACAAGATGATCATCAGCTGAAGCCTCTATCATTTTTCATCTTTAATCTTCAAATAAGATTCCTTTAAGAACATTATTGTGGATAATATGTATCAGTTAATGGATCAGAAAACATGTTTTTGTTTTTCAGGAAATAGAATCAATTTTGCCTATCATACTAGAAAATTAGATAATCACAGGAAGAGTAGGCTGCAGAATGCCAACAAAGATGCTGCGGGCATGAATAGAATGAGGATATAAAATGCGGAAAAATCCTCTAGGCCTTGATCCTTAATTTTCTGTTTAGCTGGCTTGTCAAAGTATATCTGTCTGGTAGTTCTTAGAACAATATATGTGATGATTATTTGGGTTCCATCTTTTTCCCCTTATTTGTCTGGGGAAAATGAGATGATAATGATTGAATCAGTTGAGAGAATGTGTTTGTAAATTTGTGTTACAGCTGATTGACTCAATCTAACTCATAGCTACGTGTGACTGGAGGGTGCAATGAATTGATGTGAATGTGTTGGGCATGGGTGATGAAGATGATAAGTTTTGCAAATGTTTTAGGTGATGTTTCTTGATTATGTTCTTTTAAGAATATTTGCCTCTTGAGGTTTGTTCATCTTGTTTGTTTTGATTTCCTAAATTGGGTTTTCAATATGCCCATTCAAGTTTTTTACAAACGATGTAGCAAATTAGATGCATAGAACTGCTGCAACAGTTAAATTTAACACCGCACCTTATATATGTCTATTAGACTATCTGGATCTGGGGCTCTAGTAAACACACAAGCGAATTTATTAGCTGTTTTGATTTACCTGTGTTGAAAAATATACGTAGGTTAAATTTAATAAATCTGTAAGTGCCGTGATGTTCGAGTGTGAGAGTCCATATTCAAGCCTTCACCCTCCCCTCCCCTTCCCTTCCCTTCCCCTTTAAAAAAAAGCATATGTTAATTCGACTTAAATTCAATATATTTGTAGCAGCCTGCATCAAATAAATAGAGAGTGCATATTAAACAACAAATGGAAGTTGAGGTAATGTGGGTGGGGTCTTGTGTGACTGAATTACTTGCGACTCCAACGCCTAGTGATTGAGTTGGCCCCATTGATTTCAGCAAAAATCCACCTCCATGTAATGTCAAGGAACATTTAATTCGTGTGAAATATTCAAGAACGAAGCCATTATAATAAAAAATACTATACTGTGAGTTTGATGAGGTCAACTAAACCGGTCAAACCAAGTCCTTTTTTTTACATTGTGGATTGGTTGGTAAACGGTATGTTATCAAATACAAAAATTTGTGGCACTTAGGACATGTCTCCTCCTAGGCCGATGATGGAGTCACTATTGCTTCAATTTGCCAATGTGTGTGTGTGTGAGAGAGAGAGAGAGGGAGAGAGAGGGAGAGAGAGTCTAATACTAATGTATGCTTTGTGTTGGTAAGAGGCTAATACCCAATATAGCATGCATGCTGTGCTATGCTTTGATGATAACGAAACATGTAAGTTGGGCACGTTTCCTTTTACTTAGGGGCAGTTCAACAGAAGTAGGTGATGTAGTTGGCCTTAATATAGCTAGCTTGGGTGCAAGAGAACACATCCATCTAGGACTTTTACTTCTATTTCTAAAGAACAACCCCTCTCTCTCTCTCTCTATATATATAGAATATAATATGTAGGTATATATGTCCAACACCTTCTAACCCTCCACCACCTTTCTATATATATATACACAATATTGTCAAACATTCTCAATTCCTCTCTTATTCTTCAGTGGAGCCCTCTCATGGAAAAACAAGTCCCACCACCACCACTACCACCACCGCTACCATCACCGCCACTGCTGCCACCACCCAACAGCCCATCTTACCTCTTCGGTACTCCCTCACTTCCTCCACAAACTCAACATGATGAAGCCCTTCCAGACATACACTGGGTTAGCCTTCTCTCTTGTCCAACTACTGGGCTCAACAACCAAAAGCCATTGTCTCAAAGTGCTTCTTTAAACACCACCAGTACATCTCATGTTAATTATATAGCTGATCAAGAAGAGAAGGACAATAATAGAGATGGAATTATAAGGAGATCAACTAGTACTAGTAGGATGAAAAAATCAACCCTTCCTCGATTCGCCTTCCAAACTAAAAGTGCTGATGACATTCTCGATGATGGTTATCGTTGGAGAAAATATGGACAGAAATCTGTCAAGAATAGCATTTATCCCAGGTGAGCACTATATACACTAATTGATTGACAATTATTTTATTTTATTTTTGTGTTTCGGAAAATTGATCAACATATATTCTCATTTCTTTACGATGCATGGCATATTTTATGAGAAATCACACGTTAAATTACATGTTTCTTTTGCATTATGAGCTTTTATTTGGTGATGTATTTACCTTTTGCTAAGAAGATATATTTGTTTGGTTTAGAAATTTATTGAGATATTAACAATGTTGACTAGATCAAGGTTTAGCACTTTTCATCAGTACTTTAATGAGTCTAAAAATTATGGTTGTTAGTCACTGTTGAACTGATTTTTCTTTTTTCTTTTTTTTTTTTTTTTTGGATAGTGATTTTTCTTAAATTTCTAAAAGGTCATGACTGGTCACATCAATTTTAAAGCCGATTAGATGGCTAATTTTAATGTTTCCCTTCATCTAATTTTATTTTGGAATTGTGAATTTTCAGTAGAATTATACGATGGTTTCATTCAGTTGCTCAATAACATCTTATTTTTAGGAGCTACTATCGCTGCACGCATCACACTTGCAATGTGAAGAAACAGGTCCAAAGGTTGTCAAAGGACACTAGCATCGTTGTTACAACGTACGAGGGAATTCACAATCATCCTTGTGAGAAGCTGATGGAAACCCTAAGTCCTCTTCTGAAGCAAATGCAGTTCCTCTCTAGCTTCTAAACTCAAAGCAATTGCCATGTGGTAGTGCAAGAGAATCTATTGTGGACTTTATATATGTAAATGGACAAATTTAACATCATATACTTGTGCAAGAGAATCTATTGTGGATTTTATATATGTAAATGGGCTAAATTTAACATCATTGTTAATTTATCATATATATATATATATATATATAGCAGTAAGCTTTTGTATCTGAGTTTGCTAACCATTCATAATCTTCATCAAAGAGAATAAATAAACTGCAAAATTCAGCGAATATATCATCGAATTTTTGCAAATCCTATCATGGACATGGGCCCCTCTATAATGTTTCTTTGTGAATAACCACATGTATGGTAAACAGATGGGCACTATTTTTCATCCAGCACAGTTCGGTATTTGGACTTTCTATATGCTAAAACTATAGGATATATTGAACAAAATGCAATCAATAAATGGGTCGAAGGCACCCAGACTTAACCCCACTGAGAACACACACACAACACACACAAAAGGAAAAATAAAGTAAGAAAATTGAGCCTGAAATTGCTTTTACTTGAACAAAAACCAGCTCATTCTGTGTACTGTACAACCATGAGCATTTGTCCGCTATCATGTATCTCAGGTTAACCACTATATCCTAATCAAAGCAATTGATCATCTCATGTAATGACAAACAACTATTATATATTGTAGACCATGGTACGAACATGCCATGCAGATCAAAAAAAGTTCGCATAATATAAAGGAGCTGCTCAATTACCTTCAGATAACCATTTAAGCAACCATCGGCAAAAAAACATTAGGGTAAAGTGACCAAGCTCCATGGAATATTAGTTGCATTTCCTATATTTGGTTGGGTTTGCAAAGCAATCTGAGAACTGGTTATGTTGATTAGTCAAGGGAGCAGGATTTGTCGACAGATTAGGAAGCGGTTGGGAAGCTTGAGCAGGTTGGGTTGGTTGAAATATGAACTGTCTAAATGCAGCAGAATAAGCTTCACCTGTGAGGCTTCCCCTCATTCTCCCAGAGGGCCTCCAGTTCTGCTCTGATGCCAATGCTGCCAAACCATCGCTCCTTGAGATCTGCTGTGTTGCCCCTCCCACATTCTCTTGTTGTTCACCTGTTTTTCTTAGCGGCTCAGTAACCATGTCAAGAGAGAATGCCGAGCCTGTCCTTGATGGTGCAAGCTGAACTGGAACTGATGGTGGTGCTCTTGAAATCTGAGCTGGTGGCTGAGCAGTCCCAGTGACTTGATTACCACCACTGTGTTGCTGAACCTGCACCGAAGGGGCAGGAATAGATTGATGAACAAAGTTTTGAGATAGGTTCACGGCTTGAGTCATCCTCATGCTTGGAAGGTTTGAGTGCTGCTGTTTTTGCTGCATCAACGAAGGCATGTAGGAGACACTGTAAGCACCTGAGCTTTGAGCAAGATCAACAGCCTGTTGGACTGACAGCATATTCTGTGATGACAAAATATTTTGTTTTAAGAGGGCAAAACAGAAAGAAACAGAAAAGTGCTATACATCAGTATTATGCAAGGTTAAGGGTTGGAGTCTCACATGGGACAATAATAGTTGTGTGTGTGTGTGTGTGTGTGTGATTTACCCATTGGAAAAGGAAAAAAAAATGGAAGGAAAAAAAACTCCGCAGAATTATAAGAATGTTCAAGAGAAACTTCAGTAAAAATGGTTTCCATCTGTCACTAGAACTATTTCTCATGGCTTATCCAACAACTCTCCTACACAACCACCTTATGGGGCAAACAGATACATTAAATTCACAGGGGGCTGTTTGTGAGAGCTAAAAGAAAAAGTCAACAAGGTACTCCAGGTATATAGATTCACCTGGTTGGTAAATAATGAAGAAGAAAGTGCTGGTTTCGGAAAGAAAGGGAAAAAGGCAAAAAAAAATTTGATTTAAGGAATTTGCAGCTTTTTGGACCTTCACGTTTCTGGCTTCCATTTACCAAGCACAAGTGTCTTAAACCACCAAACATAGCTAGCTGTGTCCAGGAGATCCTAAACAACACCTGCTTGTTTTCTTCAAACCTCCAGATAGGAACTGCTTCTAAGAACTAGTGCAAAATAAGTTTACTGAATCAACATCAATCTTTACTCTTATGGACCCATCATATATTGGTTCACAGGTCTTAAATGAACAGGGTAGAAAGGGGGGAAAATGAAAAAGAAAATTACAGCCAAATAAGTGATTGAATCTACATGCAATAGACCAAAATCTTTAACTAATAATTATGAAATAATCATCCATGTATAATAGGATCTCCTAAGATAATACTACTCAGTCAGTTCTATTTTAAAAAATTGCATGATCCGACTAAAATGCCCATTAAATTTGGATGCGGAAATAAGAAATGCAAATAGGAAAAGGGAAGAGAGAAAGATGGAGAACACAGGCATATACATGGTCGGCACTAAGGTCTACATCCATGGACAAAGAGCCACTAAGGGCTACATTTCTATTATTCAGATCTATATATTGCTCAAGCCTCAAGTACAAAGAACCTATATATAGGCATGGTAAATATAAGAGAATATAGAAGGGGTGAAATAGTCAAAGGAGGCACCGTGATTGGTGGTGATTTTGCTCCACCGTTATATAGAAATATCTATATATTGCTCAAGCCTCAAGTACAAAGAACCTATATATAGGCATGGTAAATATAAGAGAATATAGAAGGGTGAAATAGTCAAAGGAGGCACCGTGATTGGTGGTGATTTGCTCCACCATTTTATAGAAATATCTATATATTTCAACACTCCCCCTCAAGTTAGAGCATGAATATCATGAATGCCCAACTTGCCAAAGAAACACCTCCAAAGATGATGGGAAGGTGTTCAGAACAAAGCCACGAAATTGGTCGTATCTTGCCAGGGAAAATAAACCGGAACTCGTTGGGGAAAAATGACCGGATCTTGCTGGTGAAACTGTACCGGAACTATGCCGGGAAGTGGGCCGAAACTAAGCCAAGAAAAGGCCGGAACAATGCCGGGAAAATGGCCAGAACAACGCCGAGAAATGACCGGAACAAAGCCGGGAAATTGGCCGGAACAATGCCTGGAAATTACCGAAACTATGCCGGGAAAAGAATGTGAAGACAGAGAATATGCTTCATGATAATAATTTCCATACTCCCCCCTCAAACTCTCTGTGATGATCGATTTAGGATTGATGCTCTGATACCATGTTAAATTTGGATGTGGAAATAAAAAATGCAAATAAGAAAAGGGAAGAGAGAAAGATGGAGAACACATGCATATAAATGGTTCGGCACTAAGGCCTACATCAATGGACAAAGAGCCACTAAGGGCTACATTTCTATTATTCAGATCTATATATTGCTTGAATACAAAAGGCCTATATATAGGCATGGTAAATATAAGATAATATAGAAGGTAAATAGTCAAAGGAGGCAAAGTGATTGGTGGAGGATTTTACTCCACTGTTATATAAAAATATCTATATATTTGAACAATGCCAATCCCTCTATCTGAAATGACTTTATTACCCTTGTAATGACATTTAATTACCAAAAATAACTTCTCTCTCCACCCACAACTGACCACCCCTTCTCTCTTCCTCCTCCACCCACTCGCTCTCTACAACCAAACTACCAACAACACAATTGAAAATCAAATTTCAACAGAACAAAGATTTAACCCATATATAATAGTTCAACCCACATATAGACCCATAGTGAAATTTGAGTGCTTGATTGAAGCTGTGTATGCTTCGTTACCCTTTCTGTTGACACTGTTGATATGGTGGTGACGTTAGCGGTTCCAGCATTCTGATTTGAGATGGAAAGGCGATGAACAATTTTGGAGAATATGGTCGCCATTTTCTAGTTTCTCATGTTTCTCTGATCTGATTCTTTTCTTTTACGATCTGAACATCGCTAATTTTTTCATAGCCTATATTGGTTTTTATATATATCTAATAGTTACATATATATATATATATATATATATATATATATATATATATATGTTGAAAAGGAAAGATTCGGTAGTAATACTACCAAATATTATTAACTGTAAATATAATATTCGGAGGATATTTGCTGTAAATAGAATATTGGTCAAATGCTGTAAATTAGAAAATTATTAATTAGGCCAGCTAGTTATGTGCGTGTATTCTCTCCTATAAAGAGAACCCGTGTAAACTTGTGAATTGTGTGCTAATACAGAGAAAAAGTTTATTCTATATTTCTTTCCTTTCAAGTTTATATAGTATCAGAGCTACCCTAAAAAAAAAACCCTAATTTTCTTTTCTGCCCAATTTCTTCGTTGATTAGCCATATCTGACGTTTCCTCTATGTCAACCTCGCCTATCACAACCCAGTCAACCAATCCGACAACCCAAGCCCCCAGTACCGATTCTCACTCAGTTCAGATCACCAATATTCGCCTTAATGGTGACAATTATTTACGGTGGTCCCAGTCTGTTCAGATGTACATCAAAGGGCAGGGAAAAATAAGGTACCTGACAGGAGACAAGAAGGCACCAGCATCAGAGGACCCAACGTACGTGACCTAGGATGCAGAAAATTCAATGGTGATGACTTGGCTTGTGAACTCCATGGACTAGGATATTTGTTCCAACTATATGTGCTACTCCACGACCAAGGAGCTCTGGGGCAATGTAAATCAGATGTACTCTGATTTGGGAAATCAGTCTCAGATCTACGAATTGACTCTAAAACTTGGTGAGATTCGACAGGAAGATCATTGAAACGCCTTTGGCAGGACATGGATCTGTTCAATGATTATGAATGGAAATCCACTGAAGATGCCAATCACTACAAACGGACCGTGGAGGTTCATCGCATTTACAAATTCCTTGCTGGGCTCAACGTGGAATTTGATGAAGTAAGAGGATGGATCATTGGCAGGACTCCACTTCCTCCAATTGGTGAAGTGTTTGCTGAGGTTCGAAGAGAAGAGAGTCGCAGACATGTAATGTTGGGGAAGAAGACTACCAGCGGACCTGTTGAGAGTTCTGCCCTTATTGTTGCAGAGACTGCTGCTCATAAAGCAGTCAATTTTCAGCGAAAAACTGAAGAGAAGCCACGGGTCTGGTGTGACTTCTGCAACAAACCGCGCCATACTCGGGAGACCTGCTAGAAAACAGCGAATTGGAAGAGTAGCAAGCCTGGTGACAGAAATAGGCATGCGGTTCCTACTGCTAATGAAGTTGAGACAAGTCCCTTAAGCAAGGAGCAGATGGATCACCTTCTGAAGCTGCTGAAATTTAATTCCTCATCTGGTATTCCTAGTGTTTCTCTTGCACAAACAAGTAGTGCACTTATTGCCCTTTCTTGTTGTTTAAATTATACTCCATGGATCATTGATTCCGCAACCTCTGATCATATGACTAGCCTTTCCAATCTTTTTAGCACTTACTCACCATGTTCTGGCCTTGAAAAAATTAGAATTGCAGATGGTAGTTTTTCACCTATTGCAGGAAAAGGTTTGATAAAATTATCCGAGAATATAGATCTTAAATATGTTCTCCATGTCCCTAAACTAGCCTGTAACCTTTTGTCTATGAGTAAACTAACCAAAGAATCTAATTGTTGTGTAATTTTCTGTGATTCTTATTGTGAATTTCAGGACCGGAGCTCGAGGAAGAAGATTGGCAGTGCTAAGATAATAGATGGACTTTACTACTTTGATGGGAACTTCTCCCATAATAAAAAGGTTCAGGGCCTTAGTAGTGTTAGTTCTAACTATGTTTATGAACAAATAATGTCTTGGCATTTAAGACTAGGACCTCCTAACTTTCCATATCTTAAACATTTGTTTCCTACTTTATTTAAAGGTTTGGATTGTTCATCGTTCTATTGTGAAAGTTATTGTTTATCTAAGAGTCATCGTACTACTTATTTGCCAAAACCTTATACTTCTTCAAAACCATTTTATTTAATACAAAGTGATGTTTGGGGACCTTCAAGAGTCACTACTATCTCTAGGAAAAAATGGTTTGTTACTTTTATAGATGATCATACCTGTTTATGTTGGGTTTATTTGATGAATGAAAAGTCTGAGGTTGAAAAAAAATTTAAAAATTTTTACACAATGGTTGAAATTCAGTTTCAAGCAAAAATTAGCATTTTTCACACTGATAATGAAACCGAGTAATTTAATGAAATTTTGGGGAGTTTTTTGAAAGAAAATGGTATCCATCATCAGTCTACATGTGTGGATACCCCTCAACAAAACGGAATTGCTGAAAGAAAATTTAAACATTTACTTGAAGTGGCTCGTGCTATAATGTTTTCAATGAATGTTCCAAAATATCTTTGGGGGGAAGTTGTTTTAACAGCTTCGTATTTGATTAATAGAATGCTTTCACGTGTTTTAAAATATAGCACGCAATTAGAATGTTTCAAAAGAATTTTTCCATTATCAAGTATATACTCGGATTTACCTCTAAAGGTTTTTGACTGCATAGCTTTTGTTCATATACCCAATAATACTCGGTCCAAACTTGATCCACGAGCTGAAAAATGTGTTTTCATAGGGTATGCTTCTAATCAAAAGGGATATAAGTGCTATAATCCCCAAACAAGAAAATTTTATGTAAGTATGGATGTCTCTTTCCTTGAAAATAAATCCTACTGTCCCAAAAATTCTCTTCAGGGGGAGAATGAGGTGATGGAAGAAAATTTTTGGGATTTATCTCCTACTCCTTTACCAAATGTGATTTTGACTCATTCACCTCATCCTACTGTTATTCCCGAAATTTAAAGTCAGGAACAATGTGATAAAACCAATGAAAACAATGAAGGGAATCCTGGTCATATAGTGCCAAACATTACTATATTTGAAACAGGGGAAGAATTACTACAACCGGGTACTAAAGTTCCCAATACTGAGCCTCTGGTTTATACTCGGAGAATACCTCATCAAAAGAGTCAAAGTCAGCCTATTCCTCTTGGAAATGATCAATCTCAACCTCCAGTAATTCTGTTCCTAACTCATCTTCAGTTCCTATTGTTTCTCCTAACCAAGAACCATCAGACCTTGATATTCCTATAGCTGTTAGGAAAGGTATTCGAATCAAATATCCAAATCCAAAATATCCCATTGCCAAAAACCTTTCTTATGAAAAACTCTCATACTCATAGGGCTTTTACCTCAACAATCTCACATTTGTTTGTCCCGAGAAACATTCAGGAAGCTCTTGATAATCCGAATTGGAAGTTAGCAGTGATGGAAGAGATGAATGCTCTTATAAGAAGTGGTACTTGGGAGATAGTTGATTTACCTAAGGAGAAAAGAACTTTAGGCTGCAAGTGGGTCTTTAGTGGGTCTTTACTGTGAAATGTAAAGCTGATGGTAGCATAAAGAGGTACAAGGCAAGACTAGTAGCAAAAGGGTTCACCCAGACCTATGGAATTGATTATCAGGAAACTTTTGCTCCTGTAGCCAAGATAAACTCAATCAGAATTTTGTTATCTTTGACTGTGAATTTCAGCTGGCCATTACACCAGTTAGATGTAAAAAATACCTTTTTAAATGGAGATCTTGAGGAGGAGGTCTTTATGAATCTACCACCTGAGTTTGAGGGAAAATTGGGACCTAATAAAGTCTGTAGACTGAAAAAATCTTTATATGGTCTCAAACAGTCCCCTAGAGTTTGGTTTGAGAGATTTGGGAGAGCTGTGAAGAATTGTGGCTACTGTCAGAGCCAAGCTGACCATACCATGTTCTAAACAGTAGAGAAGGCAAGGTTGCAGTGCTAATTGTCTATGTGGATGATATAGTCTTAACAGGTAATGACAATGAAGAATTGGAAAGACTGAAAAAGAGACTTGCTGCTGACTTTGAGATCAAGGATTTGGGTGCATTAAAATACTTTCTTAGAATGGAGTTCGCTAGATCCAAAAAAGGTATATTTGTGAATCAACGTAAATATGTTCTTGACTTACTTAGTCAGACAGGTCTGCTAGGATGTAAACCAGCCGAGACACCCATTGAGCCCAACCTTAAGCTGCAGCCTTCTAAAGATGAAGAAATTATTAATAGAGAGCAGTATCAAAGACTTATTGGAAGACTGATCTATTTGTCACATATACGTCTAGATATAGCTTTTGCAGTCAGCATGGTTAGCCAGTTCATGCATTCACCTGGACGAGAACACTTTGATGCAGTCTACAGAATTCTCAGATACCTAAACGGGACTCCTGGAAGAGGTCTACTGTTAAAAAACAGTGGGCATTTGCAAGTTAAAGACTATACTGATGCGGATTGGGCTAGGAGTGCTTTTAATAGACAGTCAACTTCTGGCTACTGCACCTTTGTTGGGGATAACCTTGTCACCTGGCAGAGTAAAAAATAGAATGTAGTAGCAAGAAGCAGCGCAGAGGCCGAGTTTAGATCAATTGCTCATGGAATTTGTGAGGTGTTATGGATTAAGAGACTATTGGATGAATTAAAGGTCTCTAATACGTTGCCTATGAAATTGTACTGTGACAATAAAAATGCTATTTCGATCGCTCACAATCCAGTGCTTCATGACAGAACAAAGCACATAGAGGTAGACAAACACTTCATCAAGGAAAAGCTCGAAAAAGGATTAATCTGTATGCCGTACATTTCTACTACCGAGCAAGTTGCAAATGTACTTACAAAGGGACTTCCTACAAGACAATTCGACAGACTAATTGGCAAGCTGACTATGGAGGATATCTTCAAACCAGCTTGAGGGGGAGTGTTGAAAAGGAAAAATTCGGTAGTAATACTATCAAATATTATTAGCTGTAAATTTAATATTTTGAGGATATTTGTTGTAAATAGAATATTGGTCAAATGCTGTAAATTAGGAAATTATTAATTAGGTCAGCTAGTTATGTGCGTGTATTCTCTCCTATAAAGAGAACCCATGTAAACTTGTGAATTGGGTGCTAATATAGAGAAAAGGTTTATTCCATATTTCTTTCCTTTCAAGTTTATAATATATATATATATATATATATATATATATGGTTGAACTATTGTAGTACGACTATAAGGATGAAAGAACTCAGAATCGGGTGGTGACGGATGGTAAAAGTTTTCCCAATTCCAGACCGATTTGGCTTGAGAGGGAGTGCCAGCACACGTTGAATTTGAGTTGTATGTATCCTTTTTTGTATAATTATTCGATATGTAAGGATTGTGGCTCTACAGAGACAAAGAAGGGCTTGATTCGGAAAGAATGTGAGGGAGTTTCATTGGGATTGTGGCTCCATTGTACATCCTTCGATTCTTTAATCTCCAATTTGAACATAGCTTCTTTTTTTTTTTGATAAGTAAAATGTATTGAAAAGCGTTCAAAAGGATAGGCCATTGTGCATATATGGGTTGAACTATTGTGCATCATTCAATTTCGCTATTGTTGTTTGGAATGGATATTGAAACCCTAACCCAAACTGCTGATTTGGGAGTGTTGAATTTGAAGTGGACAAGGATGCAGAGAGAGTGCTGAATGGAGAATGAAAATGAAAATAAAACAGAAATTCAAAACCCAGTGTTGTATATATATATACAGCCACGTGTGTTGATTTGAACCAGAGAAGGGCAGGTCTCTGCGTTGATTTGAAGAGAGAGAGAGAACAGGGGTGGGTGCTGGGCGATAGAGAGAAGGAGAGGGAGGAGGTGGCCAATCGCCGGTGGCGATCGGTAGTGAAAAGAGAGAACAGAGGAGAGAGAATGAAAGAGGGAGAAGATAGAGGTGGGTAAAGTGGTCATTTCATAATAGAAGATATTTTAGTATTTTTAAAGTTAAAATATTGGGGGTATAAAGGTAAAATTATCCTAAAAATTGACGTTTCCGTTAGAGGGAAGGTCAGTGCAAGATTTTCAAAAAGTTTCATTCAAGTGTGTTTAGGCCGAACCTCTAGGGAGGTCAGTGTATCTATCCCAAATGTCAACCTAGTGGAGCCAATTATAATGTTAATTACATGATCGCGAGACAAGCCACAAAACCTAAATAACATACCGTGACAAGAAATTTCTACACAAATATCCACTATAAGTAACATATCAGCTCAAATGAAACGTAAAGTGAAGTGTAAACCAATCAAACCTGTATGGGTGAATGTTGTTGCATAGGTGATGATGAGACCATGTCTGAAACTGGAAATGAAATCATATGCGACCTACAAAACAGTCGCTCTCTTTCTGTGCCTCCAGTAAGTGTATCATATCCAACCTTATTGGGTGCCGCGGAAGCAACACTTTGAAATGTAGCAGGAGATGCACCACCGGGCATGAATGTATCCGGGATTCTTCTTAGTTGACACGAACCAGGTATCTGTGCCTGTGCTGGACGTGTTTGCATTGCACTTGGAGAACTTCTAAATGCTGACTGCTGTAAATGCAAATTATTGGGATTGAACGGTTGGTTCTGCAATAAGGTGGTTGTTGGTTGTGTTATCCCATGAACACTCGCTGGTTCTCGATGAGGAGCCAGAGAAAGAACATCACTCAGAGCAGACGGACCCACCAAATCAACAGGAGGGGTATTAGAAATGCTATTAACCTTAAGGGCACTCAAATTAGTATCAAGAGCTGCTGAGCTACAGAAGACTGAAGAAATGATCGGGTAAATTACTAGCCTTAAGTCATCCTTTATTTGAGCAGAAGGGTTTTGGCACCTATTGCTGAATTCTGTATGTGTAAGACTACTGCTAGTGGAAAAACTTTGATCTGGAATTCCTATAATACCTGAGGATTCTTGCTGACTAATTTTGGTCTCATCATGTCTTTGAGCTGAATGGTCATTGTTTTCCAAGACAGCCTTCCAAGATCCATCCATTGAGATAATCACATCAACTACATTTCCTCCCACCTCTTTCAAGACCTGATCAAGAAGCAATGGATTAGTTCATATTGGGACAGCTAGATGGAAGAAGTAAATCCAACTTACCTTGACTACATTCTGATCAATGCGAATTTCTGGGTAGCAGACTGACTGGTTACAATAAGGACATCGCCAGGAAGGTCTTTTCGAGTTTATTTCCAAAAAATTATCATAATCAAAGCACTACATCAGCACAGAAGGGGAAAAAAAAAAAAAAAAAGAGAAGGAAATTCCAGTCAGTTACTCTGAGAATATCTAGGGCACCTGTAAATGCAGACTGCATGAGCAAACTAATAGCAATAACTAGCATATGTCACGCATGGGGGTGGGGCATGTCTAATGTTTGTAACAAACGAACAGCCACACCAATTTCCCAATTCACTTACCAAATGGTATTTTTAGACCAAAATCCAGTGAGATTAGACTCTTGATGGAAGTATAGAGCATGAGTGAAGCTAAAGTGTGCAATACTGAAAATACTTTAAGATGGCACTTATAGAGTGTCATGTGTTTCTGTATTTATGTATCTTTATCCCATGGAGACAGCAGAGAATTGGAATGGTGCGTGCTGATTATCAATTCCAAGAATTGAGAATAGGAGCAGTGCATGGTTTAAGAAGATTTGGTTACAAGAAACCGAACAATATGTCCAACCCATCAATTCTATTAGGTTCCACACTTCCAGCATCTAGCAGACAGTAGAATTGGGCCGATTGGGAAAGATCCAATAACTGATCACCCTAAAACCTACCACTCAGTATTTTCCAAAAAGAATATATATTATGTGCAATATTTACTATAAATTATAAAATCATTGGATTGACAAAATGTGTCCAGGTTAAAGTTCTTAAAACTAATTATTAACAGGTTGGGTTCAACATGGGCATTTTTTACTCAACAAAATACCAAGCTTACATTCCCATACACCTTGCAGCAACTATAGTTTTTCCCTTATGCTACAGTGAATTTTGTAGAGTACAGATTACAGAACTCTCACCTGAAAATGCTTGCAGAGATGTCCTTTCACGGGAGTTCTCATACGACATTGGCTGTTTACCAAAGAAGATGAAAATAGATCCATAAATTCTAAGTTGAATTTTTTTTTTTGACACATTAACTGGACCAACAAGACACTAATTAAACCCAACTAAAAATTTCTTCAGAACTTGTCAGTCTCAGTATTTATATATTCTCATCCACTGTAGTAAATACAAAAATATATATATATATATTAATAAGAGAGAGGGAGAAGCAAAAAAATTGTATGATCAACAAGAATACATGAAAACAAAGAATAATATACAAACGTGACAGAAAATATTTAGCAAGAATTGTTATTAGTGAATGATGTGACAGCATACCGTATGGGGCAGTTCAATGAAATCCGTGCCGAGATGATATCAATATCTGATAATACAGTACACTCAATAAGTTCGGCATTTGAACTTTTAACTCAAATTTTTGATAAATCCACATGAATTTCAAAACACGTAATAATGAAACAATTAATAATCCTGATCATTCTTTCTCCTTTCACTCCGCTTACCAGAATCAACTGAAGCACCAGGTTGCGGATAATCTAGTAGCTCTGGAGTGCCAGAAGATGATATCATACTTATGGTTGCTATGACAATAATGTAACAACCTGTAGATCATTTTAAAGCAAGATCAAAATCCAGGAAGACTTTTGAACAAAGAGAAGATATACTTGGACGTGAATTCTTTTTTTTCAAACATACCATCAAAATGTCCGATAGCTTGTAGAAGATTTATTCCATATTTGAGCATTGCTGTGACATTTGTTGGAAGCTGTGGTCTGTTGTCCTGCAACAGATGCAGATTACAAGGAAATGTTGAATACAGTCTGCTACATTTACATCAAACCACTGCAAGCATATCGTGCTAGCATTAAAATATTTTCAAACCAAGATTTAGGCATAACTAGACAAACCATGGAAACATTATTCCTTCCACATACTCCTTTTCCATTTAATAGAAAGCTGCAAAAATAAATAAATAAATAAACAAACAAACAAAAAAATCAGTTTATGATTATAATTTTAGAGCAGAGTAGAGAAAGAAACATACTTCCCTTGAGGTGGAGTGATAATGCAAGAGGAAGTGTCTGAACTGTCCGTACGAGCTACAAGTAGCCACTGCGTGCAAATAGAAAACAAAAAAATAAATAAAGAAAATGAACCGATAATTCTGTGTTTTTTTGGTTTTATACACCACCAGTTATCAATATATGCATTTATATATATATATATATATATATATATATATATATACACACACACTATGTTACATGGACTCGAGTACGTGTGTCGGACACGGGTATGTGTCCATGAGTCGGACGTGTCAAATCTCCAAACAGATGGACATGCGGACACAACTAAATATTCATTTTATTAATTGCTTGCTCCTCGATTGCTGATTTATTTGACCTTTTGGACTCTATTGGTCCTTAGGGTTTTCGTTTTTGTGTACTAGGGACGCGTTCCCCTTTTGAATGCTTTTCTAATATATTTTACTTATCAAAAAAAAAAAAAATTCTAGAGTGAAGTAATGTTTTTATCTAATATAATGTTCAATATAGGCATTTAACTCATTTTAAATTAATGATATAATATAATTGAATAATTGGATATGCTTTTTAAGTACATGTCCAACCAAAAGTGTCGGACACATCCCATACCCATGTCCGAGCGATATGGGTCCGACACGGGTACTTCACTACTTTTGAAGAGTCTATGTAGCATAGTATGTGTGTGTGTGTGTGTGTGTGTGTGTGTGTACTAGTAAAAATTGCACATGCAAAGCCCGTTATCTATTCTTCTTCTGTTTTTCGTTTTATTTTGTAAAATTGTGAAAATTTTCTTTTGACAAATATGGTTCGTTCAAAAAGTTCTGTAATAAGTAGGAAAAGAAAGATGAATTGGTATCCGCAAACACCATACAAAAAAAAATAGAAATTTCAAAATAAAAATATCTCAGTACGTTTGAGGATTTAAACTCTACACAAGAGTCATAACACAATCCATCCTAATGGAAAAACTGAAATATAAGAAAGTAAACTGAATACTATGTTTATCATCAAATTCCCATTGATAAATAGAATGATGATACCAAACAAATTCATTGATGTCGAGGAACAAAAGATATGAAAGAACCTGAGGTATCAATCTACACATTAAAGAAATCAACTTTCAAAATTATGAAGAATATATATATATATATATATATCACCTTTTTGCACCATCATTACTACCCTTTTTTTTTTTTTTTGAAAGGTATCATCATTACTACCTTGTGACTAAAGCAGGTGCAATATCTCAACATAATCTTAAAAGGGTGCATAAGTTTCATTTTCCTTGAGATATTGCACCTTTTACTATTTTTTTTTTTTGATAAGTAAAATTGTATAAAAACACTCAAAAGGGAAGCGCATCCCAACAGAACTACACAAGACCAAATAGGACCTCTAGACATTCAAAGAGCCCAAAAAATTGACAATCTCCTCTAAAGATCTATAATCTCTCCCTACAACCCAACAAAAAAGAGTAGAAATAATAGAAAACTTAAGCAAAGAAATAGGATTCTCCTTTCCTTTAAAAGATCTCTTGTTCCTCTCAAGCCAAATACACCACCAGACACACAAAGGCATAACCCTCCAAAAATCCCGGAATTGGGCCCCCACTAGACAACCTCTCCAAGCCTCAATCAACCCTCTGGAGGATTTGGGCATGACCCACAGAAATCCAATTTACTATTTTATTTTCTGATGACATTGAGAAGGCTCATCCAGATCCTTTGTAGCATAATGTTTCAGTTTTTTGGACTGTATCTGGGAGCATCAAATTCCCACGATTTAGTTTATTTACAAAAATCATTCACCATCTGAATAGTTATTCATACATATTTTTTTTTTATAAAAATGCTATGTAGTAGTACGTGATAGAGCTTGATTCCAATTGTAATATCAAATTATTAATTGTGTACAAAAATTAACTACTATCCAACTGATATAAAGTATAGTTAGATTGAATTGGTAATTCTCAATGAAATTTTCGTACAAAAATCAATTACAATCAGATTAACTCTACTCGCTTAAATCTTCTACAAAAGGGGAAGAGTTTTTAGATAGAAAAAAAATAAAGGTTTTTTTAATCACAATTACTGTAGAATATAGTTTGACTACATTTGTAATTCTCAATAAAATTTACAGACAAAAAATCATACACCATCCAATAAACTATTTAATAAAATCTTCTATAGAAAGGTGGAGAGTATTTAGATAGATAAAATAAAGCACTTTAAGTTAGAGTAATGAAAAATCTAAAATTAGATAAATAATTAATTTTATATTAGTTTAGTTAAGAGTATGGAGAAGTCTATGAAGCAATTATCTCCTAATTTTTTCTGTCAATTAAAACTTATATAGAAAATGAAAAGAAAAGTAAGAATTATAAGTTATAAAAAATGTATATATTTTATTTTGACATTTATATTTGTGAGATATTATTTTATTTTTAGCAATTATCGTAAACAAAACAAGTCCAAGTCGAGTTGTAATTCAAATTACTTGTTCTGAAAGTTATCAAGTTTGACAGCGACTACAGAACTGGGAAGTTGTTCAAACTTACCATGATTGAAGATCATTTGAAGCAAAAGGTAAGAACAACGCATTAAGAAGGATTCTAAACAGGTTAGGATACATTCTACACTTTCCATAATTTTCAGAAGTTTCCGTAGAATGATTTTAGGCTGAATGGACCAAGGAATTCAAGTCTGCCAAACTTGAACCGATTCAAGATGTCAAGATTGGCTTCGAAAAGTTTCTGCCAATCTTGAACCAGTTCAGCCCCTCCGAACCGGTTCAAGGTATCCTGTTTACAATACAACTTTCAGTTTCCTTTCCTGATTTGTTTCCCAATTGGTCTAGAATTGTACCAAATCCTTTGCACGAATTTTTCCTTATTTTCAGAGGGATTAGGTCATTCTATACTCTATATAAACCATGTCATATACATTGGTTTATTCACGGCTTTTACATTACCAGTTTCTTATTCTTAAAAAGCCTTAGGAAGATTTTTGTCTCAGAAATTCTTAGAGAATTTTATGTTTGTCTTTCTAGAACATATACACATAAACACTTGAGTTTAGAGTTGTGTTGTTCGAATCCTGATCGTGATCATACAGTTGCATCTACATTGATCAGACAAAAGCAGATCTACTTCTACATTAAATTCAAATGATTGAAGAACAGAAGTAAAAGCGATCACACTTTGAAAGGGTTAGAGCATTTGAGGAGTGTTGTCTGATCTACCTGCTACTCTTATACAAAAAGCCTGACGTCAAGTTGTTGTTGGACGAGGAGTCGCACAGCCAGAAGATTGTCAACAGTTGGTGTTTGGTAGAACGATAGGGTGTGAGCCAGAGTCAAAGTTCAGTGTACTTTGTTTCAAGCATAGTGGATCGGTTTACTTTGGACTGCACAATCCACGAGGTTTTTTCCACGCAAACAGTTGACGTATTTTATCAACTGGGGTTTCCTCGCTAAAATCTTGGTGTCATCTCTAACTTTACTTTGCTTTATTTTAGATTGCATGATATTAATTTATTAATTGCTAAAATAAAGTAAGTTAGAAAAACACAAGATCTATTTTTAAATTAATCAAAACTTTCTAAGCATATTCCGCTGCGTACGACCCACAATATCTACGTATACATTATATAGCTCGTAACAATAGTGGTAGAGTTGAGAACCAAAATAAAATCAGATGGTTTGTTTAAGAGATAAAAACATTTTCATAAAATAAGAATAATTAATAAGTATAAGCTAAAATATCAAAACTAATATATATATATATATATATAACTTATTTATATCTACAATAAACAAAATATATTGATATTTATATATTATTATAAAAAATAAAAATAAAAATTAATATGTATATAATAATTAAATAAAATCTATTGACATTTACAAATAGTATAGATATTTATAAAGAGGAAGAGAAAGCAATATATAGAATATGAGAATTGTGATCAACCATTTCCTCCATTAAAAGTATATTTATACTGCACCCCATATATGTTTTGATTAAGCACCTAGAACAGGCCACTTTAAACCAGACAAGTGCAAAGACAGATTAAACTCGGAATAATTTCTAACAACTTTAATTTGTCAGTATGCAAGTCGCCAAGTCCTAAGGATAGTGAGTTGATCTTTTGAAAAGGAAAATTGAGTACACTGTAACTATAACCCACACATCAAATAAAGTTAACAGTAGAAATGCATTGACATGAATTCAAAGAGAAGCTATGAGCAATCTTTGGGGTAAAAGGAGTGCAACAGATCAAGAGATGTAATTTTGCCAAGGTGTTGAGCTGGCGAATATAACCACTTTGGTTGGAAAGAATTGATGTGGTTTTATCAATTACCTTAGGAGTAAGTCTAACCGAAGAGATCTCAACTGACACTCACAATCAAGAACGAAGCGGTCAAGATCTTTATATAACCCTGATACCAATTGGTGAATTTTTCTTAATGGATTATATTTTTTATTCTCAAATTTGATTTATCCGATAATCAATTTGGAATACACATAAGACCCTAAATAAATAAATCAAACAAACAAACAAAACACCTAAAATTAAAGTTGAAACAAACTTTAAATAACTCTAAATAAATTTATCAATCTTGAAGGTAATTAATTTGGTTAATTGCTTAATCTCACATACACATATGATGATTGATATCAACTTGATAAGCACGTTTGGAATAAATGATCAATCATTCTAAGCATGTAAAACAATATTAAAGTGATACAGAAGTAAACGAAGGTTAGAGACGTGTGCGCACCAGATTTACGTGGAAAAATCTCTGAACTCGGGATCAAAAAACCACGGGACTTGACTCGGCTAAGCAATTCACTATGAAGAAAAACATTACAACCAGATAAGTTCGACCCTATGAACTTTAATTAACCTCCAGACTCATCAAGACACTAAATCTTCAATGCGTGCTTCACCACAATTGATTGCTCCACACAACCCAATTGTCTTACTTCAACGCAATCCAAAAGATCTCTAGGTCGTCCTCCAGCCGATCCATCTAATAGCTACATAATCTTGTTGATCCGTATCAATTCCATCATGCATTATTTCTTCACTTCGAACTCTTTCCGACACCAATTTGTCCACCTTCTGATTGTTTGATTTTGGAGGTCACACTCAGCACAAGTATTGATGTTGGCGTTGTAAGCACGTACCGTAGCAATATTATCAATATTAAAATAGCATTATAATCACCATATCTAATGCAGATGATATAATGAATGATGCAAGACATAAGATATAAAATATCAATGTGTGTGCCCTCAATCTCACAAGATAGTCTCTCACACAGAACTCTCGTGTATAAATAAACAAGAATGCTTTAATGCGGTAGAATAAGCACTCAAGGGTTGTCAATAAGTTTCAGACCATATTGGAATTTTTTCAAGACCTAGTATATATAGAGAACTGAACTTGTTCTCCACGCCCATAACTTATTTTCCAAGTAAACTTGATTTCGAAGTTAAATACTTTGACGCTAAAGAAAACTTTTACGAGGAAATAATTTCCTTCTCTGCATAAAAATAATTTATTCTTGATTTGCAAGTTCAATACTAAGTGAAATCAAATTCATTTAAGGAAATAAATTCCAAGATTTAAACTGTCTGGATGATCTATATATCAAGAGCTTCGATCGATCGATGTAGTGGATATTTCGATCAATGCAACTCTGCTCTTTTAGACCGATAGTTGTGAAGCTTCGATCAATCGATGATATATATGCTTCAATAGATGTCCTTCCAACTTGAAGAGATTGATGCTATAACTAGCTTTGTTCAATCAAAGTGTTCGACTTTTAACCTACATTATGTACTCTACATTAAGGTTCTAAAAAATGTTTTCTTGATCCATACTCAATATATAAGTCTTAAGGAAAATTAGATTTCAGCAAAATAGGCTTAGACGCATGTTTGGAAAACTTTTTCTTGATGCACAAGGACTTGCCTAAGTTTATAAAACTTGGAAACTTAGCATAAATGGTCCGATGCATAAATAAGAAACCTTCTGTATAACGTTTAAGGAAAGTATATACGTATACATATATAAGAGGAAGCTCTATAATTTTTAGCTTAACACATACACTTTATAACTACATGTAAAAACACTTTTTCCTTAATTTTGTATATGTGGACTAACTAAAAACACAATTTATGTTCGAAATGCAATTTTCATAATATGATCATGTAACAAATGTATGCTACATGAACCTAAATGGTGATACAAGTGTTTTTCATACCTTTTTAAGATGACATCTTTTGACCTTGTAGATGATCCTTGGACTATTTTGCCATTTGTAGATGATCTTGGACCTTTTTGCTCTTTTAATGTAGCTTTCTTTAACAAGCATAATCTTCACACTTAATCTAATCTAACTAACTATTTCTAAATCACTCACTAACGATATAAACATTACGTTATATTGACTGAGTTTTGTCCTACAAAATTTGCTAATTATATTATTAGATACCTAAAAATCCTAACAAGGGGCAATCAACTTCCATTATTAGTACCATAATGCCACAGAAAGAGATGATAGGAACATGGAACTATTATTCTAGCGAAATTTACTTGCAGCTATTTTGTACTCAACATCAAATTCGAAATAGTGATGCTAATAGCAGAATATACTTACTATCTTTTCATGCGCAGGTTCAACCATACTCCTTGACATGTGGAAGTCAGCCATAAAAGCCTTATACCCGGGCTACAGCACAAAATAAAAACAGTTAAAGACTTACTACTCCCTCTATCCCTTATTAGTAGTCCATTTTCCCCTTTTAGAATGTCCCAAATTAAATGTCCACTTTGAAAAGTCAAACAAAATAAATGCCATCTTTCCCTAATTACCCTTCTAACTTTTCAAAAATCTTACAACTTGGTGTTATATATATTTAAACTTTGAAGGATAACTTAGTAATTTGAAATAGGGACAATGCATTAATTGCATGTCTCCTTAAAAAGTTATAAAACCAAATATGGACAACTAATAAGGGACAGAGGGGGGATGATTTTTCAAAAATTTTAGGACTTACCATGTTAACAGTGAAGAATCATACATAATTTTATACAAAAGCCTACCTTAACCTCAAGTGAAGCAAGTATGTGGCCAATCTTCATTTTTGGATAGAATCTGCATATATAGATGATTGAAATACCGATCACACATCATTATTTGCAATAATAATTTATTCAAGAATGAAACAAACACACAAAAATTATCATGGACAAAGTGTGACATCCCACCACCTAACTGTATAGACGCGTTTTGAAAACCGTGAGCACAAAGAGTGTGACAGATGGTATAAGAGTCAATCCCAAGTTGGGGGAGCGCGCACAAGCCCATGATGGTCACGCCAGCGAGGACGCTGGTCCCAAGAGAGGATGATTGTGATATCTCATATCACTTGGGGGGAGATGTTGGCACTTATATGTATGGACACCTCCGAACTGTATAGACGTGTTTTGAATACCGTGAGTACGGAGAGTGTGCAAAATGGACAATATCTACAAAACGGAGTGGGTTGGGACAGATGTTGCCTAGGAGGAAGGTTGTTGGCACTTATGTGTGTGGACGTCTTCTAAATGTGTAAATGCGTTTTGAAAACCGAGAGTATGCAAAGCGGACAATATCCACACAACGGGGCGGGTAGGGTCAGATGGTATAAGAGTGGATCCCGCTCCGAAAATGGAAGGAGTATGCAAAAGTCCATGAGGGTCAGGCCAGCGAGAACGCTAGATCCCAAGAGGGCAGTAATAAGTGCGGGCGCTGATAAGCGCTGAATAGTGCATATTTGAGCCCTTAAACGTGCATAAGTTTGTAGGTCTTTACCTAAAGATGTGCACAATTCTATGTATTTAGAGCTAATGGCAATGTTCCTGATGCTAAGGGAGATGTTCTGAGCCTTTTGGGTCGATCTGGGACTCGACTGAGCAAATTTGCAAGAATTCAGGTCCCAGAGCTTAAGCACAAATCAGAAAATCAAGAAAAAAAAAACTAAGTGTTGGATGAAAAGACGCTTCGGAAATTTCAGAGAAAAAAATGGCTAAGCATTGAAGCAAAGCTCAAGCACAACCCCTCAGAGCCCGAGCACAAGCATTTGTGCACGAGCTAAACCTCCCAAAGCTCGAGCATAAACCTCCTGAAAGCTTCCAAAAGCTGCGGGAAAGATGCAAAATCACTCTTCTTTGTTTCCTTATGGGCCTAATTGTTCCCAAAAGCTGTAAAGTCATTCAAAGGGAATTAAGACTTGTTCTCCACTATATAATTAGATGAGAAGACACATTAAATCTCGCTCTTCTCTCTCTTGGTTCTTTTACCTTGTGGCGGCTTTTAGGGTTTTGAAAATCGAAGATTCCAATTGGCGGTCCATGGAGATGGCTTCTACACCAACAATGATGATATCCTTCCTTTCCATTAGTAGCTAAAGCATTCCTTAGGGAATTGATGAAACCCTAGTCCGAGTAGCATGGTTTTATTGTTCTTAACTTTGGAGATTTTTATATGTATATTGATTGCATGGTTGTAAGCAATTGACTTAGTATTCCTAAACAATTAGGTTTTTAATGAAAATAATTGGTTTTTGATGAAATTAATGTCTTAGAATTAATTGGTTTAAGTAGTGATCATGTAATGGTGCTTAATTGAATATGTATGAATGAATGTTTTGATAATTCATGCTTAGGGAAGACGACTACATGGTAGATTAGAGTAGTAAGGTAAACAATCGTGCCAACTGAAGATGAGTTATGGCTTAGTGTTTATTTATATATACTTTCTTAATTGAATTATAGTGTGCTGGTAGCCACTTGATTCTCGAATATGCATAATGTGAATTTCCCCTAGTTGAGACAATTGACCATGTTATGAGGCTAGTGGTGAAGTCAATCCCTAGGTTCTTCTTCCCTTGATCTCAATACTTATTAATTTAGTTTATTTTCAGTTTTATTGCAATTTAGAAGTAGAAAACAACAAAATCATCTTTTCTTGAATTAAATTAGTATTAATTTTATACTTGACAATCCATCACAGTTCTTCAGGTTCGACACCCTCAACATAGCCCTATCCTACAACGATTCGTTCTATTACGAGTGGTTTATCATTGAAGAAAACACACATTAGTCGCCTCCCAACTGTGAGGGCATTGTTATGTGGATGCCTCCTAACTGTGTAGACACGTTTTGAAAAAAATGAGCACGGAAAGTGTGCAAAACGAACAATAACTACACAACGGGGCAGACAGTGACAATGAGAGAATTGGGTAAAAACACCCCAATTTGAGGCAAATTTGGAAATACTGAACAAGCAAGTCTCTTGATGTCCCGACTGTTTGAAACAAAAAGAAATTGATCAATGTCAAAAGTCCTACCTCTAGAACAAGATGAAATGCAATTATTATTATTATTTTTTATATATTTTTTTATTATTAATTTTTTTTTTTAGGACTCCCTTATAGGAAACAATATAACCGTAATGATCTACGATAATGTCATTATAATTGTAAGGGGGTTTTCAATAAAGTCAGAATTTCCCACAAATCTAAAGGTTCATCCAGGAGAGATAATAACCATAACCTCAAATCGTTAATAAAAATCTTTCCCAGTTAAACATATCTAACTTACAATCAATAAATACATGCAAACACACAACTGCCATGCAGATTTTAAAACGTGATTAATAATCTCACCTTTATTAAATTAATCAAGATTTGGAAACAAGTTATGGAGACGCAAAAACAAATAAAGAACACTAAAATAGTATTCCTATGTCAAACAAGTACACCTGAGTGTATTCAAATTTCCCGAAAAAAATAAAATAAAGTCATCATCAGCAAAAGTTCAGTAAAAAAAAAAATAGGACCAATAATATGGGGCCCTCAGGATTCCCAGATTATAAAATGAAAGTTGGAGAGAAGTTAACCAAAGGGAAACTCGAAAAGAGTCGTTTTCTTTAAGTTAATAAAACAATCTTGTACTCAGCAGCAGTCAAGTGATCCAAATAGAAGCGAGAGGCTTCAGCAAAGGAGATCCAAAACAACTCCAAAATACATAAGATAACTTTCTGAGCAATCAAGGGCAAGTTTGTCGCCTAGTAGTTTAGGGCCCAAATAATAAGAAAATGAAAAGTCTCCTAACATTGAAAAGTGCTCTTTCTGGAAAGGGTAACCCAATATATAGAAGCAAGCTTGAAGATTCCTACATAGAATATGGAGGTTTTTGTGGGGGGAGAGAGAGAGAGAGAGATTCAAGCAAAGAGAGAAATTTTCTTTTCCATTTTTATGATGTGTTAAACCCTTGAATGAGTCATATTAATGATACATGTTAATATTACTATTGTTTCTTTCATTTGATTTTTTATTCTTAATCAAAGTCGAAACCTGCCATGTGTAATTGGTAGTTTTCTGAAGATTTTGAAGCTCAGGTAGGAGAGTAAGACAAGTAAAAAGAAGGTGATAGAATCAGCTACATGGAAAGTCTTTTGCCCGTGGAGCCCGATCCCGTAGCAAAGGAAAAGGAAATTGAGCTGGCTGCCATGTGGGATATACAGCAGCAAATTCTTCATCTTCAATGGAACAAGATATTTTGAGTGCCTTAAATATTACTTGTTTAACTGATGATAGAACATGTGACTCTACAGTTTCATGTCAGTTGCATTAAAAATCAACCTGACTTTGAAAATCATGTCTAAAATAATCCGGTAACTTTTAACCCTGTTGGCCAATTGAGGACATAGTTGCATTATATGTCTCAACCTCCTAAAGAGTCTGCTAAAAAAAAAATTACAAAAAAAGTATCAGCAACTGGAGTCAAGATGAAACCTTTCCTCCTAAGTTCTCACACACTACTGCCATGTTCGGTAGGAAGGAAAGAAGAGGGGTGAAAGAAAAATAGAAAGGAAGGAACAAATTTCCTTTGTTCAGTAGAGATGATATAAGGAAAGAAAGGAAACTAGGAAGGATGAGTCATCCTTCCTCCTTCACAAATTTTCATCCACCCAAATATGGGCGAAAGACTCTTCACAGAAGGATGATTGGCTCTATAAAGTTAAATACAGGAGCAGACTTACGGATGATTGGCTCATTGAGTGACCTATAAAAACTCTTCACAGAAGGATGTGAGTTTGCTCCCAGACAGTCCTATTTTCTTCTTTGAGGTTACACTCTGTGCTTGCTGAAGTACTTATTGCAGTGTTGGTAACTGGTCTCTGGTGCTCTAGATGAGATTCTACTTCAGTGACTGGATGGTTGGAACAAGATAGACGTTTTGGTGAATGTAATATTGATATGTTGTTTTGTTTGTTGTCGTGTTTTGGTTCTCTGTGGCATGATGTTGTGGCTGTGGAGCTCTGTCCATTTTTTCATGGACCTTGTACATACTTTTTTCTTCTTTTCTACAAGCTTACTATTAGCCCCTTGACGGTTGTCCAAGGGAAGACATGGGCATTTCAAGGCCATGCCATGTCTTGGGAATACTTCGGCTTTGGTTAGACAGCCATGAGAATGCTCAGTGGGTTGTCAGCGTGCACAAGATGCTCAGCGTGCACACAAGATGCTTAAAAGGATGCTCGGGGTGCACTGGGGGTGCCCAGTGGCACTTTCGTAAATATGGCGAAAAGTGAAACTTGGAGTTTTGACTCGGGATCTTTATGGGAGATACCTTGAGTCCATAGAAGCTGGTTGGCGCAGACGGCACTCAATTTGGATGTCGGGAAAGGTCTGAAAGGCCATTATGACTCCTCAAGCATGGGTGATGTTTACTCCTGTCAGAGTGCTGGATTTCCTTAAGACTATATTAGGGGGGGGTCTGTTGAGCACATCGGTTGGGCTATGGCATGGCTTGCTTAAAGGGCTTAGCTAACGTACATGGGCACGTGTTGTACCACTCCAAGATGGTTGCACAAGTGGGGAGCATCCAAGATATTGAAGGGCAAACAGTTGGCACCGACACGCGCGCTGGTGTGCAGCGGCGCGCGTGCGGGCATGCAGGTGGGCGCGCGGGCTGGCGTCTAACCTAGTGTGCGCGAGCGTCTAGCTCGGCGTGCGCATGGGCGTCCAGGTGGGTGTACAGCCAAGGGCGCATGAGGGTACAAACATGGCGCGCAAAGAAGGGCACTAGTGTGTGCGCCGGCGTGCA